CAACTTGTTGGGGGTTTTCAAACCAATATATATAAAATTTTCTTAATTTAAAAAATAATATCCCCTATTGTTATGTTTCTTCTATATTATCATCAACATAATTATTAGCCAAAGCAGGATAATGATCGTCAGCTGCAGCAACCGCATCATCGGAATGACCAAACTTATTTTCTTTAGCATTAACAATAGCTTTATGATCGGTCGTAACAGCAGCTTCATCACCAATACAAACTGCCATCATCAGTATCACCAACACAGTCATTATAATATGCATCATTACTTTTATTTGTAGTTTTATCAAAAGAAATGTTAAAAGTATAATGCCGTGGAGTTCCGTATGGCAAGGCTTACTTAATGTTTTGTAGTATAAGCATAATTATAATACCTAATGAGCAACTGTGACGCAGTTCCCACGCGCAGCCTTGTTTGGTCATCATGTTTGAGGTGTGGTTTTGACAGGGCAAGAACCTTAATAAGCTCAAAGCTTCTTTGAAGTTTATGATGGCAATTGACTTGTCTAGGATTTTTCTGCGTTTTTCCGTGCATATGCATGTAACGAAAATTTCTGTACAAGTTTAACACTTTCCAAATAAGGTCTGAATATCATTAAAAAATAGACTGATTAATGCTTTACAAATGGCCCTTGTAAGACAAATGTCACTGAATTTCTACCGAATTTTAGACGGGAAAGAAAGCACATTTATATGACAATGTGAAAACGTCTTACATGAACTTGATAATGTTTTCATTGACGGTTTGTTACAATACCAAGCTATCTAAAATTTGAATATTAATAAAGAAAATATTGGAAACATTCTACGAACATCTTGACCATCCATTAAAAACATGAAATCAAGTTTTGCTTGCCATTTTTACTCTTTCTTTTAAACTGGTATTTATCAGCTTATCAGCTTTATGCAAACGAAACATTCTTAAAGTGACATTATACTCATTTTTTTTCATCGTCAAGTTGAGCTTCATTGACTATATACAATGTTTTTTCAAAAAATTGACTGTTACAATGGTAGTTGCAAAATGTTTAGGATAAAATAAAAATCTGCTTAAAAAGTTAACAAAGACTGTCCTCTCTTTTTTAAATGGAACATTAAAGGTAGTTTCCGATGGATGTTTATAGAAATTTCATTGGACCACTTGAGTAATTTATCTTTCATGTGAAGTATAATATAAAATTGAAAGGAATTACGGCAATTTCACATGTTTACTCACTTTATACATTTGGATGATGGACACAATGTCACTTTAAGCGTTGGGAATATTGGGAACCAAATGGCAGTTCTTCTTTGTAATTCTTTTATTTATTAATTCGGTAAATATACATTTCAAGACACGACTGCAATGATATCAACATTTATAACATATCATTGAATGACAAGTGCACCAGTACCAAGAATGACACAAAAAGAGACCGAAAATAATCCCCATGAATATGTTTTAATTAAGTCAATTATCTAGTCAAAGAAAATAAAAATGGTAATACAATAATTATTTTGTTTAATGATATCCTCAAAATGTATCAACCTAACATATATATGTCTCCTGCATGCAGCTGGCACATACTAGGTTTCATTTTTGAAAATGAATTAGGCCTATTTTAAAATGCGTGTATGATAGAAATGTGTTGATAAAGTTCCTTAAGAGCAATAGTGCATACTCAAGATCTTTTTTAGAAGGGTAAATCTCCTAATTAAAACAGCAGCATTATATGTTGTTCTGGGACATTTTATTCTGCTAACGTACAATATTCTGCTTATTTACAATAGTCATGTGTTCAGTCACAATAGCATTATATATTACGAGCTTTTGAAAATCAAACACAGGATTATAGAAACAACATTATTTTACCATTTTTCTTATATATTATTTTACCCTTTATTTAGATTTATTTTAGATAGACGTGTTCACAGAAAAGACAACACATACACAAATCTAGGCATATGACATTGCAATGCTAATGGACAACTCACTACGGTGTCAATGAATCGTTTCCAAAACAAACAAAAAATATGTCGTTCGTCACATCTATTTATTTCCTAACTTCTTACAATCATTGTTAATCAACTTTTTTAGAAGAAGATTTGTCAACAATTATAAATTATATAATTATAAAATATATTTCAATTTCAGTTTTGTCCGTGTTTTGAAATCAGTTATATACTAGGAGTTGAGATATTTAAACATTAAAAATCAACATTTGGAGTGTCTTGTTTTATATCAAACTCCATGCTTTTCGTTCTCACGTTGTTAAGAATTCTCCCGTCATCCATATTGTCCATTACAACACACTCGGAACTTACTCCACCCTTCATAATACTCAGTTCCATATCTTTTACAGGTATTGTTCGCGGAGATAATTCCTCAACTGAATGAATGACCGTTCCATCTGTTGTATTTGGTGACGAGGACTCATCTTTTTGCCGATGTACCAGATCAACTCCCCCATTCTGATGAGCGATATGGTTATCGCTATTGGGTTGCTTGTCAACCACACCTGTGTTGTTCCCAACAATCAGATCGACGTTGTATATATTAACATCTTTATCACCAATCTTATCGTAAACGACCGGGGGCACCTTGTCGTCGTCCTATAATAGGATATAATATAGTATACGTGATTGCAAAAAAAAAATCATGTTCATCTTCAACAATTAAAAGGGTTCAATAATTAACTGCTGAATTGTTTATTAATTAATGGACTTGTCAATCTTCAATTGTCATCTGTTCATTATTAATATTTGGGAATATCAAAATGAAAATTTGAAGGTGATCTGATTACAGTTTCCTTTCTGGTCAGACTACATGGACTTGAAAGATGGCATGGCTCTCTACTTGTGACAACGAAGGGTCACTTTTAGTTCCAGCAGGGTCAAGGTTTAGATCTAAACCTTTTGATTAGTTAAACTACCAAGAAGTACAAATCTTTTTCATCTTGAAAAAATACTTGATTGTACTTAGTTCGCTTTACAATTATTTGTTAAATATACATTACATTTGTTCTATTTTATGAATTTCATTAAATTACTATTGATTAAAAAATTTAATTTATTTAGGGTTAAAACCTTAATAACGAGTTTTTTCCCAATAGAAAATTTCTTTCTTGAAATCGGATGGGGAATGTCTTAAAAAATGTTTTGGGGTTTTTTTTACAAAATCCTATTTTATATGTTTTTAAAATTAAAAAATTTTATAATTTTTAAATACCTCTTCCTCTCCTCAAAGTGATAACAACTCATAGGTTTTCGGAATATTTCTGGTAGGAACCGGGAATAAACTGTCGCAAGGAAATGATACTTGCCTTTGATCTCACCGGTTTCTCTGTACCCTGATATGCAATTTAAAAGATATGGATCTTTTACAATATGTTTTACGAGCAGCTAGCCGAAATTCATTTGAAAATTTTCAAAATACCATGTTACACTCAAGAACCCGGGCGGAGGTTTTTGACTATGATGAACTGAAAAAAAGTTTTATTTTATGCGGTTTATTTGGCATTTCGAAAAACAATCGCAAACTTCCCCTGTCTTTGCGTACTTCGTTGCGGGCGAATACTTTTTTTGAACATAATCTTTAGCTTTTGACACTTTTGAATCAATAGGGCAAATTTTCGCAATAAATTATTTCGATGTTTGGTTAATTTTTGAGTTATTTCTTTGGGCCTAATGATCTTTGAAAGGTTTAAATTTATTTTTTGTTTTGACCACAGCGGTTATTTTAAAAAATGGGGACCGAAATTTTCATAAAATGTATATTTTCCCTTACATAAAATTAATTGAATGTTTCAAAAAATATGTGACTGATTTATTTTTTAAAAAATAAAAACAATTTTTTTTAATTTTCTTTAGAAATGCTAAATTTCAAATTTGTTTTGTTTTATCGAAACGAACAAATCGAAAGTGTTTTTGTTTTCATAGAATTCTTAACAAAAATTTCTTAACAAATGTGTGCAAAAATGCGAACCCCAGACAACTTTTTTAAATTAAAAAAAGAAAGCAAAAAAATTTGATACTGTTTTTGGAGCCTTTTTTGAAAAAAAACATTATAAACAAAAATGAAAAAAATATTTAATGCCTTCCAAAATAAAAAACAACTTACAATTTTTAAATTTCCCAGTCTTGAACTAGAAACATACCGTCCAGTGAATGAAAACCCAATATGATGGTCTGTACCACACCAAAAGGTCCAAACCATTTGTACGACAACATAAACATTCGCCGAATTCCTGTACTGAAAATTGAAGTGTAAAATATATTGATTATTGCCGTTTTCAAAAATGTATATTTTTATTGACTCTTTATAAAACATGTCTAGCGAGCTAGAAAATGTTTTGATAAAAACAGAAGATTTGTTAAACAAAACAAGGATTTGAAAGCAAAGACAAATCGCTAGTAAATAAATATATTTGAAAACATTTAAATATATTAACCACTGTATGCAGAACCTAGTGTTATTGTAATTACATATAAAGTAAAATGATATATTGTGACTTATTGAGTACTATTAGAAAAAGATATGTTGCCCAGACTTAGTATTTTATTTTGTTAGTTATGAATAATAATTTATCAACTATAATTCATATCCTGATACAGCTTCATATAAAAGCGATACTTTATATTAAGTACGAGGAGAGTAGACTTTTTTCATGATGCATATAGCAATAAAGTAGTAACAAATAATGACCTATATAAAGAGTAAGTGGATGAGGGGTGGGACATCCGTTTGAAACCACTTTTAAACCCGGTATCTACAGGGGATTAGATGGGTTCAATTTGGAAATTTTGCATCTCTTTTCTCGATGAGATGTTTTTCCCCAGTTTTTTAAATTTCTAAACGAAGGCAAAAACATCCTTTTTTGCCATTTGAACCCAAAATTAGTTGGTGCGTGACCAAAAAAAACATTGATGAATATACAGCTTCCATAGCTATGTATTTTAAAGCCTTTTTGTGTGGTGATGGGTTTTGTAAAAACCCATCATATTAAAAATTGGGGTATTTGTTTTGTAAGACAGAAAAAAGGATATTGTAAATGGTTTTATTTAAAATTTTTAACAGAATATGTTTCTGTAACCCTTTTGATTTATTACCTATGGTTGTTGAATTCCCTTTTTATGTAAAACCCATAAGTTTTGCGTAAAAAAATAAATTTCCGGAAAAAAATATTGTTTTGATATTTCAAACAGAAAAGGATTTTAACCGTTTAGCAATGACTTTGTGAATGCAACATGCAAAGAAATTTCCTTCATACGGATATATCGGAGGTTTTTTACCTCAAAATTAAGATCTGATATAGCTTTATACACTTTTAAGGTCGATTGGCAAATAAAAGAGTCATTTTAAAAAAACATTATTGTGAAATTTAGATGCAAATACACTCGATAAAGAAACAAATGTTAACAAGATGTTTTGCTCTGATGTACATACGGTTCTGGATAGTCGTACGGATTTATCTCTATTCCGCTGATTGAACTAGTCAGATTTGACATCGATGACGTCACATTCGTGAAGTATGCATCAGACGTCATATTAGTAAGCGTCATATTTGCCAGTAAACTGAAGACTTCAACAGCTGGACAGGAGTCAACTGGTGCAGACGGCAGTCTTGTATTCTTCACAGAACCTTTTGTTGTCATTTGTCCGAGTGCAAAGGTGAATGTAACAATGGCAGATAGAATTGTTCCCCAGAAACCTCCCTGTAACAAAAATACGTGTTTCTCGTACCATACGAGTCCAAAGTATTTAAATTGAATTGTCATATAGATAAAATACAACTCAATTTCCTAAAAGCTTGTTACAGCATTTAGATAAAAAAAAAACTGCATTCATTTTTTCAAGAATCTTCCTGATTTGATGAAAGTGTATGAAGTTAGTAACATTTCATATAAATAGATTTATACATTGAGTTACCTTAGCATTACCCCATGGACAGAACGCTCCAAACATAAATAAGCCGCTAAGAGGTGCACCAAATGCCGACAGAATACTTCCAGTGATCTGTAAAATGTAACAAGCAATTACTTGTCAGAAATTATCAACTTAAATGCGAATCTGATTTTATTCTATTATCTAATAAATGTTAAATTCAGTAGTAGGGATGAGGATAACAATAGACTGATGAAATATAACACATAAATATACCTGAACTAAGGTACCCCCAACTAACGCGATCATAAATGCTACAAATACTGCCAATCCACCAAATACAAACACTGGAAAATAAAAATACTGATACAGAAGGAAAAATATTAGTATAAAATTACAATTAATGTTTAAAATTAATACCCAAATAGAAAGAAACAGAATCCATAAAGAATTGTGAAATTGAAAATGAAGAAGCATCGGTTTGATTGAAGATTCTCATGGATGGTAGTTGAAGTGCAAGCTACTGCTGAGGTGATCATAAGGTGCTGATCACAAAGACTCAAAATCGAGCATGTTGGAGCATGTTTGTTAGGAGCACAAAATACAAAACAAAATTATATCAACTATTGTAATGATAATTATGTGTCAACTATTCATAATTATTATGATTTATTTTATGCTTTTCAGTGGATTACTGATTTATCCGTGAAAATTATATTTGATAATTTCACAGTGAAAATTATCAAAATATAATTTCACTTTATTCAATGACGAAACTACTTTTTTAAGATTTTCCCCATGTGGTACCTCAATTCTATTTTTACTGACAATTCTGACAATATCAGGCTGTTAAAAAAAATAGCAAACCTGAAATAGATAAATAACATAAATGTCAAAAGTAATAAAGAGAGAAAACTTACTTCTATTCCTTCAAATTCCAATCACAAAATTTCGTCTCTAAATTTTTTTGTTTCGTTTTTACAGTCTGAAAAATACATTCCTTCCCCATGCAAAACTGCTCTTGATGACATTTGGGCATATTAAAGTATCCTACGAGCAATAACTGCCGTATGCTTTATGAAAAATTGAAAAGCATTGACAGCTATCACTCGTAAAATAAGTAAATCAACCCAGCGTTCCTTACAATGCCTTAGCAAGCTTCCAAGTTTTCCATTTTCCTAGCTCCTTTTCTGAATGTTTTCACTTCTGTCAACACTTATTTTTTGTCTGTTACAATCCTCAAATAAGTTTTCTTTCTTTTAAAAAGGTGTATGACTAACAAATCCAAATTATATCCTTCTGTATCTTACACAATTATTTTCCTCCCATGAAATACACGACTTTAAAAAATGGCTGCCGTTTACATTTTACAAAGCCAGGTCTAATATAAATTCGCAGTAAGTAACAGAAATATGGATGGATGGTTGGACCTTTTCTCCTACAAGAATTGTTTGTTTTTATTATCAAAACAAGCGATCATTCATATTTTTTAATAAAATGAATAAATATCACATTCATTTAACCTCCATTGGCGGACTTATTTTTCAGCTCAAGACTTCTTGTTTTTAATGAGAAATTCCCTCTAAATGGGGCTCTCAATGGGGGAAACAGATTTTAATATCAACGTTAAAATTATGGAAATTTCGTTTTAACTTGTTTTAAAGCATAAAATAAAAAGAAAATTTGTCTGTTTGTTGTGTAAGATGTAATTTTATTTCATCTCGTGAACTTTAAAAACAGTATTCTCACTCGTGGCTACGCCACTCGTGAGAATACTGTTTTTAAAGCCCACTCGATGAAATAAAATTTCATCTTACACACAAACAAACAAATATCCTCTATGTATAGTACCAGATAATTTGGAGATCAGTGTTGCTCTGAATTCAGACATGGGTTTCACGTGTGGTTTAATCAGATCTGTCCAAAATAAGGCTGATAAGCCGCTCAGTCCAGATGATAACGTGCTGTAAAATAGAAATGTGAGGTAAACATAGTTTTCAATTAATGTAACACTCAGTCCAGGTGATTAAGTGCTGTAAAATAGAAAGTTGAACACTTTACCAATTTTATGACTAATGCAGCATTTACATTTACAATATTATATAATACTGTAATATTGAATTGTAATTTCATTTGTATACATTCTGAGTACATAATGGCACACCGAGAAAACAAGTATGACGCGGCTTGTGTTTGGGCAGTGGACGAAGTCAACATTCAAAGGTAAACGTTTTATATTACCGGTTTTGCAAACAAGACTATGTTCCATGAAGTTAAGTTCATACTCAATAGCGGAGTGCATTTTATATTTATTTAAATTAAATATACATAACAAACAAAAAAACTTCGTAGCTGATTGCATTTTAAATTCATTTAAATTAAAAGATAAACAAACAAAAAACAATAATAATGTGAACAGTGACTATTAAATGCTGCGAAATTAAATCTTCGAAATCTTAGACAGAAAAAGAGTTATATATTATCTTTCATGCTATTATGCAGTTAAATAAAAAGTTCTAATCGTTGAATAGTTTATAAACAATATAGATATTTACCTGAGAGATGCACTGAATAGGGAAGCCATGAACAGTCCCGGCATACCAGGAAGGTTTCGGAATATGTCCATCACCATATAGGGAATTATCTATATTAATATCAAACATAGATAACTTGTAAAATAAACATATAGCTGATGAGTAAGATGTAGCGAAATAGCCACTGACGATACAACAAAAATTCCGATTATTTTTTTTATTTTATATAAGACATTTATTTCAAGCAAGAAAAGTGTTTGGAACGTAGGTCAATCTACCATCACAGATATTGATACATCCCCACCCCCTGTTTTGCACCCATAACACTGATTACAAATTGTAATCGTATAAAGAAAAAAAGTTATCATCAATACTGAATTAAATACAGAGGACTTTACAGAGATATAGGGGCAAAACAACGATTGCCTTGGTTTAAAAGGAGATATTCTACTCTAACGTTACTCTTTTAACACTAGATTTAAATTAAAGGAGTCGGCTAAAATAGCGAAGGCACATACTCTATTTTATATGTGTGGGCTGCTCTACAATATTTTTATTAAAATATACTGGGATTGGTGTTGCATGTCCTCTTCACCTCCACCGCCCACCGTTCCACATTCAAGTTCAGTATTTGTTTTCATTTTATTTCTTGTGTTGAATCATTCATATACCTTGATGAATCTTATCTACTTAGTTTGATATTGACATCTCGTAATATAATGTAATTCAAGCCGCTTGAAATTATGTAATTTTCATCGCGTCAAATAATGTAACTTGTATCGCCTGAAGTAATATAATTGACACCGCCCGCGTGAATATATTAAATGGTAAATTACCTGATTTGGGTTTTTTATTTGCTTGGACTTCAGGGGATCACATCCTAGCGTATCATAGTACGCGTAAGCAACAATACCTTCGATACCAGCCAAGGTCAAGGTTATAAAGAAACCTGGAGCTACAAGCATTAGCACCCTGAAAATTATAGCTTGTATTTGAATTAAAATCAATGTGTGTGTCACATTGACATTTTAGGAACATTCAGTCTAGTACAGGCGAACAAATGAACAGAGGAATTTGACACAGAAAACTAATCAAGCGGCCTTTTTGTATCTCTTTTAATTAAACAATAAAATCATGCCTTTTCACATTGTCACCATGGGTCAGATTACCAGACCCATTCCCCACAATGGCAAATATGCTTATTTTTTCGCTGTCTATTTCCCAATAGAAATCAAAACTGACAAATTTTCTGACGTTCACTGGTTGTCAACGTTCATTCAATTATGATATCAGACAGATGTCTATACACATTTCCTTGTGAAATTTTAATGTATTTTTATGCTTTGACTAATATTTGCGTTGGTTGGAATAAACAAATTTGCACAATTCAATATACGTTGCCAAAAAAGCATGAAGGAGGTAAAAGGTACCAAATAATTTTTCCAATTATACAATTTTAAGAAGCAAAATTGTTCAAACTAGGTTCGATACTTTTTCAAAATGGCTAGTAAAAGGCCTTAAAGTATCAATGAATAATATAAATGGTAATTTCATCTGGTATTTTTACTTTCTAGCTGCGCCGACTGTTGGTGTAGAGCTGATCCTCTGTATAGAAGCCTGGTTAAAGACGAGACCGAATCCTCTCATGATGCTGCCAACAAACAAGTTCCAGAAAGTGTGTCTCACAGTTGGATCAGGGTCAAAACTGGAAATAAATAGATTTCAAATTATATTATCTCTATTTCTAAACAAGACTTTGACAAAAGAGTTGTTTATAGTAGTTGAGTGGTTCATGTTCTTTGTCAGATTCCGAGATACTGACAATCAAATAGTGTTAATCAGAAAATCGTACTTAGGTTTTATTTTTAAATTGGTAACAGTTAATTTTACTTAATTATGCAGCTAAAGGGCTAAAGTGATCAAAAAGATATATATTTACATTTTAACGCTACAACTTAAAAGACACGTGCTTAGCAAAGTTTATTGCTTAACTAAACCTTGTCAAATTATATAGTGGAATAATAATAAAATGAAATATAAAATTGGAACTCGGTTCCTTTAAAAATGAAACGTTATGCTTCTTAAGCCAACAAAAAGCTTGGATTTCTCATTAGTAAAAGGATTATCATAATAAATTGGTGTTTTGGGATATATACTTCAGACTTTTATCATTCTAAAAAGAGCAAAGACCAAGTTTTTCTTACTTGAATAAATTCACTCGACCCTTTTCGTACGCAATCTCCCATGTTCTACTTATACCACCATTTTGTATTGTCCCCTGAAAAAATATTCATCAATTTATTTTTCAACTCTATTTTGCCCAACATCGAGTTCACTATAGACATACATATGCATAAAGTTCTAACATCAAACTGCTAATATAAAGAGAACTATAAATAATACGAAACAGCTATGAGCGATACATCTTATCTAATTAACATGCAAAATATTCAATAAATAAACGTCTTATAAGCAAAGTAACTGACTTCAAAGCGCGCAGATATGATGATGTGTGATACAACATGAAGTTTCAAATGTATTGAAAGAGCTTGTATGTTGTATTTAAGGTTGAAACCACATTTAAGTGAACTTTTATATGTATATAATTATGCTTCTAAAACAATTTTCAAACATCGAAGAATATGTAAAATATGTACTGCAAATATTTGTCCACATTATTTGTTATCATGAAAAAATATGCATTCATTTCTTATTGAAGAATTTGACTTAGACTTTATTTACCTCCCTTTATGACATGTAAATTCGGTAATATCTTTACAAATAATGCTTTTTTGAACTTACAATAAATTAATGATAAATCTTCATTTGAGCATTATATTTATGATATAAAACTATATAAAATTGAGTTACAGGATCTTTAAGTACCAGTGTATTAAATTAAATGGGCATGTACACATCTATACTGTATCAGTCTTTCTACATTACATGTATCAATATTACATTACATAATCCATTTTGTACTGGAAATGTTCGTGTACATGCATACTTAATTATTGCTCCAAAACAAAGTTGTATCTATAAGATCATGCCAAGTATATTTTAACAAATACAAAGCAGAATAATTACCTTAATAAGCACAGCAAAAACTCCGGCAAACATTACCGCACATTGAAAAACATCCGTCCAGATAACGGCTTTTAACCCTCCCTGTTTAAGTACAAAATAGTGTAAATAACAGTATATTATATATATTAGTAATATTCTAACAGTATGTCTTTTACAAAAAAAATGCAATTGAATAGACATATTTATGTACGCTACCTTGATAGTACTTGCTTAGAAAAGTGGAACTTAGAGCCTTTAACTTTGGAAATAGAAGTATGCTCCTCTGCTTAAATACTTTCATTTTCTTTGGGAACAAAATGCAACTAGGCATGTTTCCTTTTGTATCAGACACAAGGTACCCGAGTTCTTTTCTCAAAAACCACAGCTTGTAAGTCATAATGTGTATGAAAAGCCATAAAGCAACTATTTGTCGTATAATAAGCAAACAAGCTTTAAAATGCAAATATCTTTAAATCATGTATACATTTTTCACCAAATGTATCCGCAACATGTAACATTCTGTATAGATAACAGTAGTGTAGAACTTCGTGTTGCACTTACTACAACATTTTGAAATGGAACAATTGGTTAGACTTATACTTACAATAGATGTATATATAACTGAAGCGATGGCCACTGATACTATCGATCCCCACTGAGGAAACCCAGTTACTGAAATATATCGGAAATATATCGTAAATGTATCGGAAACATTACAGAAATATGGTGAAGAGACATGTTTCACAGTACAACACTCAACGACCATCACCAAGATTTTAAATGGTATTGTAAAGACTCGTAATTCAATCAATTAATAGATCAATGTCTCTAAGAAAACAGTTGTCTTTAAATAGGAAAAGCTGATAAACATCCTGCGATGAATATCAACGATCAGTGCAAGAGTCATTTCATTTTGTACTTAATCGGACGCTTGTTTATGGAATCAAGCATGAAACAGCACATAAGATCTTATAGTTTATAAAAGAGGTTACAGGAATACAACGTATCATAAGATTGAAGACGATTTACCTGCCTCTAAAGCTATAGCTGGTCCAAATAACACAATACCCATATAGGCTGTCTGAAGATGATGAAGGTTAAAATTTAAACTAGCAATTACAAAACTAGAATCTGTTTTACACTTTCACCTTGTTAGGTCAAAGTTTGATAGGAATCAAAACAAAATAGAAATTAATAATACATTTAATTTAACTTAAAACATGATATTTTTGTAAGAACATTGAAAATAAAAACGCTTAGATCGTTTCAATATTATTGCCATAATCAAGCTTGAATGCTTTTTCGCATTGCTGTCGGTTTTGATATTCACTGAAGCATGGGATTATCGAAACCTTATAGTAATGCAGTAACAAACCAGTGTAATAAGTTATTCAAGCTACGATAGAATGCGTCATACGACAAACGAATCCATTTGAATGTTGAACTGAAAAATAGAAATAGCCTCAATTGGATTCATCGTGAGGAGTATGCTTTTTGTTGTGTAAGTTTTTAATGGAATTTTCACTTTTTGTAGAAAATCCATTTATTTAATCCAAGCAGAATGAATGATATTCACAAAAAGCTGCCTTAATCAGGGCTTATATAATTGTTTTCCTGAGTGCTTTAAGTCCGCATTAAACCTGGGATAGCTATCATTATTATTATTAACACTTTTTTCATATTTAACAATTAATAGAAATTATTAAAGTAGAATATCTTACATAACTCAACATTCCGAGTATCGTACCTAGGATCCGAACAGCATGTGAATCAAATCGCAATTCCAGATACTGAAAATTTAAATTTAGTTACTGATGTATTAGACTTTTTCATTTGCAATTATTTTTAACAGGATTAAAAAGCCATTTTAAAAATATTACATGTAGAATCTATATTCATGCGTGAATGAGGTTTTAGTCGTTTAAAATATTAAACATATTACTGAAATCTTGTTTGAATATCATTTTAATCAATTAGATTTGAAAAAATGAGGAAAAAATAAAAACTCCATGCATGAAAGTAAGCACATTTTAAAAATCTTATGGATGATTTTGTGCGATTAGTGTAAAGAAGCCGTCGTTTTTATTTTCTTAGAGAAATGTCGTGCTAACAGAATTAAAATGTTTTCTTTATACATGTATATAGAGACAGAACAAGTAGGTCTAATTATATAACAATTCGCCAGATGTATAGAAATATCATGCATCTTTTTGAATATTTTTCAAGCCTAGTGAAGCTTTTTGAAATAACTAAGAAGTTAAAGTATATAAAGCTATATATCTGCTAAAATATGGGGTCTATAACTGTTTGAATTTTTTAACAAAAAATACTTCCAAAAATGCTTGTATGAAATAAATTACCTTAGATGTAAATGGCGCATGCGAGAAATCATTTTTAACCGGATAATATCCTATGAAATAGCAGAATAACAGATTGTAATATTACCACGCGTGTGATAATTACGCCACACCGGAACATTTTATTCTGTTTACGTACAATATTCATGTGTGTTAAATAAGACAGACATTCTGATGTAACAACTCTTTCGAGAATAGACCATGATATTATGAAAGCAATATAATTTTGCTGTTCATAAATTATTTCATAAGATGTAGCAAGAAATCTGTTATACAAATTTCCTGGGATCAGACTTCGGAGGCCTGTTGGTTGCAACATTTTTTCATATCAAAATAAAGATAAAATGAACAATATTTTACCTCATAAACGCTGGTTATCTTTAGTGGATGAACGAGTGGAACCACTATGAAAATCGAAAGGAGGTTGGCAATGAAGTATCCGAGGTTACCCATAAACCATTGCAAACCGTACACGTAAATCTACGATATATAGATAATATATTATAGATAATACATTAATGACAATGATTTTATAGAAATGTTTTAATGTCATATAAATGCCAGTTATGTATATCTGTAGAAGCTTGATTTGTATCTTAACAATAAAATAGGTGACTAGATATCATTTTTAAAAATGATTTGCCATATTCTTGCTCTCTCTCTCTCTCTAAGACAATGTTTAATTTCTTTCAGTGTTTCTTTCACTACATACATCTAATGAAAATAGAATATTTACATTAACCAAGAAATACAACAGCCTTTAATCATTGCTGAAAATTATTTACCAGAACTACATATTTTTCTCGGAACTTTCTGATATTCAAAAGAAACATTTGCAAATGATGTAACCAGTATTATACGGAGAGCCTCGGACTCAATACTTAGTGCATGCATTCATCAGGTCAAAGACTAGTAATCTTAAACTAATACCCTGCTTGATCCGAAAGTGTTTAGTTTTTGACATAAGTTAAAAGCCTGACCAGCCGTTAAATCCATACAGTCTGATCAAGCTGTACACTGTTGACTGACTCACTTTAATGTTTAATTCCCCCATTCCCTGGTCAAGACCATTTATGTAATTCAGCAAGTTAAGCGTTCACAAACCTCTGCAGGAATGCCTAGCATCATAATTGACGATTCAAAGGACACCATTAGGGAAATGGCAACCGGAAGTATCGCCATTTTCCGATTCCCAACAAAGTACTCCGATGTTGTTCGTTGTTTTCCGCCGGAAAGTGCATAATAGATGCCGATACCTAGCGAAGTCACGATGGTTACTGCAAAAATGCAATAATCCGCAATGTGGAACTCGTGATACGGATTGACCATCTTTGTCTAGTTCTAAAAAATGAATAACCGCAAATCTTAATTCTATTCCGTGCAATATTATATTTGTACCCCAACCCACTAAAATTCAACATATTTATGAAAAGAAATTTAAAAAAAAAAAAAAAAAAAAAAAAAAAAACAAGAAAAAAGCCCAAACATTTAGAAGAGGTCAATACAACAATTTGTGTCATTTCTTAGATATCAAATTTAATCTTCACCTAAAATAATAAGTTCACCTTCTGTTTTTAAGGAGGGAAAATATCCGGTCCAGTTTAGAACACCGCAACGATGGTAGTATCCTCCTTTACAGTTATTGCAATTCAAGAGCCATATTTAAACAGTCCTCATCCTATCTCCTTTTAATTTCTTAGTATACTAATCAATTCAATGCACGTAGGCAGTATTAGCATGTAAACCTACTTAGATTAGTCTTGGTTCGTTATGTCCTTTATATTATGTACCAGCACGGGTAAATATACATTAATTGCAAAGCACAAAACATCTTACTGCTGCTAAGGCCTTGCACTTTGGAATAAATAATTATAAAAAGGTTAATTGCAACGTACTATTTATTTTGACACTACTTTGTGCCCATCTAACATCTTACTGCGGCTATGACCTTTCACTCCGAAATAATTAATTATAAAAAATGTTAATTACAAGGTACTATTTATTTTGACACTACTTTGTGTCTATCTGATGTGGGCCATGTATATATTCAGTGCAAAAAGGCGGGTGTTAGAAAACGACATAAGCGATAATAGTAGTACTCCGCGACAAGGTAGTCCCCCTTTGCTTTTTCTGTACATCTTAAATCAAACGGAGAGAAAAAACATAAAATTATTTTGCGGATACTTTTGTTCATGAACGTAACAGGTAGTAAAGTGAAAGCAGGATGCTTGCAATCTATAAAACATCATAACTATTGTCTGAAATTTTATTCAGTTTATGATTTAGTTTGGTTTTTATTCGCATCCTTTCCAAAATAGAAGTAACGTTTGTTTTTGTCACAACAAAACGACATTTTTTCTACTAAAACAAATTTCTTTGACGTTGTTTTAGCAGCATGTGCCATTTTCTTTGGTCACGTGAAGTTTGTGAAGGCAGTGAAATTAGCTTAGCCAATTAAATCAATGTGAGAAGTTTTCGCACTATCTCCTTTTCACTCCCGACCGTGGAAAGAAATATAAAGGATAACAAAACTGCATTTGTTAGCTATCCTAACATTAATAATACAATTAATGCCTGAAGATATCTATCTATTCAAAGATGTTGGTGAAATGATAGGGGAGCTTCAAACATATATCAAGGATTTTGTCTAATTAAACAATTAATTGGTCAATGATAACACAGTGGTCTTACGCTTTCACAATTCCATTTTTTGCTCCCCCCATTGTTTTTTCAATTAGGGCGCACGCATTCTTAAACTTGGGGACTATACCCGTCGCTTTAATGAATGTATTTTTATTTTGATAGTCTTATTATTGACAAATATCTGTTTTGGTATATAATAAGCCTGCGTCTGTAGGTTCTTCCATGTTTTCTAGTTAAATCGACTAACTACCTTGAGTAGTGGACATTAGCATACTTACTTGCGAAAATCTTTATGTACCCTAAATCATGTCAGCTTAAATAAATACCCCACACCTCATATGATACATTTAACAAACACAGACGATTTGATAAATGGAAATTTAAAATAATGACATCTCGACATCTTTAATAGTAACTTCTATTTAGATTAAATCATTTGAATCCTGCTATACTATAGAACATAAACTATTTATGCTTTATAACTTATATTAATTCAATCATTTTTTATGATGAATATGACAAAGAATCATGCAAAGTTTATGATGTCTTTATAAGACATAACATAATCATTTATACATTTTCATCATTAAAAACTGACTTTTATTTAATACACTTTAGTTTGATTTTATGAGCTTTATAAATAAACATCTCATTGACAAATCTAATTGTAAAGCAAATATGAACAGAGCATACATATAGCATTGAAGATTAATAAACTTTACGATATATCAAATAACGGCTGTGCAACTCAATTATACTTGTCAAACTCGCTAATAAAAATCTCTTCATTTCGGAAGACGAATGTACCACCAAAAGCAATGATAGCAAAAGTAGCTAAAATCGCAGGTTAGATTTTATTGACTCTGTAAATGATAAATAAGGGAACGTGCAACATTTCTCATACCCGCTCCAGAGATATTCAATCATCACAACCAAATTCATGATTTGGTAGAACCAGAAATAATGTAAAATCACTCACATAAAGAAATTAGAAACGTATATAATGTTGGCTAAGAATGAAAGATTTTATGTATTGACATAAAGAAACAGAAACGTTGTAGGAATCATGGGCGGTAGTTTGCACTTGACAATAACGACCATAAACAGGCTTACTTAAACCGAGCTTGCAACATTTTCATTTTTGCCGTTTTGGACATTCTTTATGGATTTTTATTGCCTCTATTTTGCAGTGATAATTTTACATCATTCCAAAACAAATAAAAGTTATGATATGGTGTTAGTGGTGTGCTGCCTTAATCTTAAATCATAACAATGGAATTATTTCCGTCATTCATTTCTACATTTCAAAAAATGGTTCTTTTTTTTTAAATACTCCTGTATTGTTATGAACATAATTTTTATGAACCGATGGAACAAACATTAAAAGAGAATCGCAAATCGTCTCGATTCTTTTCATCATTTGAGGTTTAAGAACAGGTGTCGATGTATTATATAAGCAACATTTTTCAAATGTAAGTCTAGTCTTGTTGTATGTTCATTTCAATACTTTTCGTTCTCAATTTTATTATTCTACTGTCATCTAACTTGTCCATAACTATATATTCCGAGCTAGCACCTCCCCTTAATATATCTATTTCCATATCTTTCACTTGCATTTGACGTGATGTAAGGTCATCGACTGACTGAGATACTCTTGCATCTTCTATTGGAGTATCTTCACCATCAATTTCATCGGTTATTTCATTATTGATAAGAACAGCATCTCCATTTGTATTGGTAATATCCGTGTCAGATTTAGGCTGTGTTTCAATTACGCCATTTTGTTTCTCCTCGATAACTAGATCAACATGGAAAACATCCAGATCTTTGTCCCCTAGCTTGTTATACACTGTAGCAGACTTTTCTTCGTCTTCCTTTGGTTAAATAGAATTACATCATTAATAAAGAAAACTTAATCATTTTTTTAGTTTGTTAGATCAAGGTACTTAACATTTATATAAGCATTATGAAAGAAACGAAATCATTTCCTCCAAAGTGTTCAAGCCCATGTTAACTCCTACTATAAAGATAACGGAAATTTATACTTCAAAGAGAGTCCTACATGCTATTATAACGATAATCATTTAAAGAAAGGGGATGGGCGTCCGTGGTCGAGTGGTTAAGATTGTTGACTTCAAACTACCAGCATCACTGCTTTGAAATATTGTTTGGAAGGGCATTTAAAGTCTTCCTTGAATGTCGCCATATAACATGTACTGTGTTAGTTTCTACGTAAAGCCCAACCAAAAATAAGAAAAGGATTAAGGACTTTCTACAAATAAAACATGATCATGTGATGAAGAAAAAATGATAGAAGTAACAAGAGCAAGAGTTGATGAAAGTGTCATCTAATGAAAGAGATATTTAACACTTATTATTATGTGTTTGTAAATTTATGCAATAAATGTATACTTCTAGAATCGCAATTTTCATACTTTCAAATAAAAAGTAAACTCAACTAATAACAATATCGCTTACAGCAAAAAACCGCTTGTTACTATGCTATATCCGCGGTTCCGACTTCTGGTTTCATAAATTGATATAAATTTGGAATTAACATGAAATATCGTTATAAGCGGAGTTTACTGTATATTTCTAATGTACAAAGAACTTACTTCATCCTCATTTTCAAAGTGGTACCCACATCTCAGTGGTTTACGAATACATTCAGGTAGAAATGGGAATAAACTATCATAAAAAGGAATGAGATATTTCCTCTTTACCTCCCCTGGCTTTTTGCGACCTGAAATTGATAGTGTGTTATTAAAAAGATTGTATCTTTGTTTGAGTGTAAAATCAAGTATACAAAAAGAGATAAAAACGCTTTAAAGCTCAATTTTGATGCATTCTAATGAATTAAATCAAACCTTGCGGTATTTCAACATTATAATCGTATTTAAAAAAAAATTTGCTGTTTCAGTGCATCTGACCAAAAAAGAGTTTAATGATTCTTATTTCCTAAATATCGGAACAGGTATACATACTATGTTTGAAAAACGTAGCATGGAATAGCAACGGTTATGCACTGATGATTGAAATTGCGTACTTCTAATTAGATGAAGACTACTAAAATACTCGTTGCAAATGATCAAATTAACATATCTGTTAGACACAATTAAAAAAACTGTCAACGACTTAAACAATAAGATGGAGAAGATAGATCGACTGTAGCTGATTTTAAAGGCTGAAACAGATAAAATGGAGATATGTGATCAACTGTATTGTTAAAAGCGTTACCATTTCCCACATCGCTGTTACTGAATTGGTCAATTGATGTGAAAAATACTGTCGAAAATAGTCAAAATTTTCAATTAAGGCCTTTTTGCACATAAAAGTAGGTCAAATATATACAATGTAAATGAGAAGGTAAAGTAGTAACCTGTGCATAAAGAAATAATTGTTCCATATAACATAACCTGAATGACACCGATTCCTCCAAACCACTGATACGATACCATGAACAAACGACTTATCCCTGTACTGTAAAAAAGAAAAGAACATACATCAAATTTATTTCAAAGATATACTCTGAACCCCAGCACATATAGAGTTTCCTATCTTATCTCAGAGTATAAAGAAAGAGATAGATGTCTCGACAGCATCGGTAACAAACATAAATACGAGCAGGTGAATTGCAAAGTATCTTACCACACCCGGTAGCACCGGCTGAAACATTATACAATTTTTAGCCCTGAAGGACCGGATTTTATCTGATGTCTAGCCATTCACAAAGCGTTCATGTATTGTTTAAATAAAATAATCCTTTTGTTGCATTTTCAAAGTAAAATTCTCATTTGTGATACCCGAGGGGATCTACAGACAAAATAATGTGTCGTCGGAAGACTCAGATATAAACTAAGGACTATAAAAACAAGAAAAACCATACGGTTCTGGAATAACATTGGCAACGGTGTCCATTGACCCCATCGTGCTTGCTAATGACGTCATAGTTGACGTCATATTTGCCATTGTTGATATTGTTGTGTCGTTCCCCATCGTCATATTTGCAAGAAAGGTGACAACTTCAAACGCTGGACATGAGTCAATCGGTGCAGATGGTAGTTTTGTGTTCTTAACAGAACCTTTCGTTGTCATTTGACCGATTGCAATAACGAAAGTGACGACGGCTGACATAATCGTTCCCCAAAATGCTCCCTTAAAAGAAATAGAATAGAGGTTAGCTTAGTTTATAGTGTTGGTTTAACAAAGATTAATCATGCGCTTATATTGGTAGATCTTTATCATGGAATTGATTGTAATGCATTTATCGTAATGTTCATTTAAAGAATTTTAGGTCTAAATTACACCTACGTGTTTCTCACATACAGTTGTAGCTGCAGAGTAAATGTGAAAAAAAGAGAAATCTTTTGGAAATAATCAAATCGTGGAATGCAAACTGCTTTGTGAGAAGGTTAAATAAATGATGTTAAATTATCATTTAGTAAATAGTTGTGAATTTCTAAGCATTTCTACATAATTATAGATAATTATAAATACTAAGCTGCTAATGCAAAGGTTGTAGTTCTTCATGGAAATACGAAAACCTAATTTCGTTCAAAAGATGATCAAATAATTCTTTGAAAAAACACTTCTGTAGAGTCTGTAAATATTAAATATTCTATTTTTTAATATCTTGTGCGTATATAAAAACAAAAGGAACAGTCAAAATATTGTTACATAACCTATCTAAAATAGGTTACAAATTACCTTTGAATTTCCCCAAGGACAAAACGCTCCGAACATAAACAATCCACTTAGAGGTCCACCAAATGCCGACAAAAGACTTCCAGTAATCTAATAGATATTTTAAAGAGAATTTTCCAGGAAAAAATATTTTTTACAATTCTAATGATAAACAAAATTGCAGTTTAAAAAAAACTTTATATTCATTCTGTAATGCATAACTTGAGGAAAATGTACCAAGATTTTTAGAAAAGTAAAAAGATTCAAAAAGCAAGTAATATTTTACATGTTATGTGCTGCTAATGACTGATTTTGCAGTATTTATCACCATATTTCTATTGCGTGACTAATGCATTATTGGTATTTTTGCATACTTTGGTCTCTTTTTAAAGTAATTTACGTGGATTGTAAGTGTTGTTTGCAATGTGTAAGTTACTTTCATAATTGATTCACAATATTTTACTTTTAAATACATTTTCAAAATTTTCATGAAAATTAGCATGAATCTGAAGGCATGCTGCTTTAAAACATGTTTATCAAAACATTATGTTAACCTTACTATATTTTTAGTTTGGGACGTATAAATTTGCTTTCTTAATTTGTAACTCATTGTTACAAATATTCAGTCAGTCAATTCAATCATCTTTATTACCTGAATTAACGTGCCTCCTATCAATGCAATCATAAACGCAACAAATACGGCCAGTCCACCAAAAATTACCACTGAAATAAATAGATCATACTAAATAGTTCTGTATGTGTCCAATATAAACCTGAAAAATGAGCCCTATGTGGCTGAGGGTTTGATCTTAATGGTAGAGGCATAAGAATTGCGTCCACTGTTTATCCCTGCGTGAGCAAATGGGTTCAAATAATTAGAGACTATGCATCTTTTAGCAGCTCCAGCAGGTTAGTTGGTTTTGACCATTTGTGTTGCTTTGAAGTCTTTATCACACGGGGTTAGCTAAAATCATTTTTTTTCTGTTTCGGCGCCATTCGACCTGTAATGTGTTGGTGAGCCATCAAACCAACAAAAATATATAAATTATGTTTAGAAGAATTAAACATTTTATATGGTTTTCTTACGAACATGTATATTTTTGAGTAGTCAATAATTGAAATAAATCCATAAAAATAGTATGTCCAACAGTTCTCAAGTTGTATTATTCCATGCTGACAAATCTATCACACTGGAAAAAATAATGTGAGAGAGTTGAAACTAATAAGCAAGTTTCCCACCAACAGTTTTTAACCCAAAACAAAGCTACAACAACTACATTATGTTATCATGGTTTCAATTCATTTAAACTACATGTATATTTCTTCTTGGACGACTAGGATACCCGTAACGGCGTATAACGGCTTACTTATGTGTGTAAATGATGTCTACTCGTGTATAAGTTCAGGCTAGTGTGCAGTGATGCGTAAAAATTGTGAAATGTCATTGAATCATACATTGCATCGAGAGTTGGGCATTCCCTTGTGTAGGCAGTTAAGGTTGTAAAACGTATGAAGTTCGTGTATGGTATACGACATAGTTGCTTACTAAGCTTCTTTTTCCATCGCCATTGCATGCTTATGTGTATCATTGTATGACAAAATTCTGGCAAATGTTAATGTAGAATGAAATAATAAACCTTGAGTTATATACCTGATAGTTTTGAAAGTAAGGTAGCCTTGAATTCAGACATTGGTTTCACATGAGGCTTGACAAGGTCAGTCCAGAACAACGCTGAAAGACTACTTAATCCGGATGACAACGTGCTGCAAAAAGATAAGGTAAACATTTTGATAAATAGGCTTTGAATGATATTAATGATATTTTCATCAATAAAGGTGTAAATAAAACCACATTTCAAGTCAATTAGTTATGGTGTGGTGTAGAACTGTCTTCAATTCCATTTTGGGAAGTGCTTTACAGGTTTAATTGTGTACACTTAAAACAGGTACGATAAAACATTCACTTGTTCTCAAAATTCTATACTGCAGTAAGTGTTCTGTGGTTTTGTTTATTTTTTTCATTTGTGTTTTTGTTGTCTTTGTTGTTGTTGTTGTTGTTGTTGTTGTTGTTATAATTATTGTCGTCGTTGTTGTCGTTGTGCTGTTTCGTTCATGTTTTTGGTTCTTATTGTTGTTGTTGTTGTGGTGGTGGTGATGGTGGTGGCTGATGATGTTGATGTTGTTTTAAACGCATTTCTTATATAAAAAAACTGTGTCCTTCCATGCTCCTTATAGACTCAATTAATTTGTTAAAGAAAATACGTTTCAGATATAAAACATAATCAAACATGTTTCAAAAGCAAGTCATATGCATGTTGGTCTATATAACGTATGTGGGTATAATGAACTGTATAATAAAACAAGTACCTAAGAGATGCACTGAAGAGCGAGGCCATGAACAGTCCCGGCATGCCTTGCATATCTTTAAATATGTCCATCACCATATACGGAACTATCTACAAATACAAAATTATACAGAGCACAAGTCGTTTTGATTTCCATTTTAGTTACATGAAGCTAATGGACATAAACAGAATTAGTTAATTGCAAGAATAAGAAAGAATAGAATAGAATAGGATAGGATAGGATAGGATAGGATAGAATAGGATAGGATAGGATAGGATAGGATAGGATAGGATAGGATAGGATAGGATAGGATAGGATAGGATAGGATAGGATAGGATAGGATAGGATAGGATAGGATAGGATAGGATAGGATATATAAGATAAAATAGAATAGAATAAACCGAAGAGAAGCGAATAGAACAGAACAGAACAGAATAGAACCGAATGGAAAGGAAAGGAACGGAATGGAATGGAACAGAACGGAATAGAGCAGAATAGAATATAATACTCTCGATGTCTGTATAACAAAGTAATGCAAAATTATTTGCTTTAATCAAATGTATCCGCTGTAAACATATAAATAATTGGTTGTATCGATTTCAACCAATCCAGTTTATTTTAATAAACAACTTTGACGTCGTAAGTGTCGTCGTTTTGTTTGTTTCCATAAAATCTTATATATGATTGAATGATAAACTTTCTTTACCTGGTTAGGATTTTTGATTTGTTTTGACTTTAGAGGATCACATCCTAGAGTGTCGTAATAGGCATAGGCGATGACCCCTTCAATACCAGCCAATGACAGGGACAGAAAGAATCCAGGGGCGACAAACATCAGAACCCTAAAAATAAAAATTGGACACGTGTGCATGCTAACAAAGATATTCTGTTCACCCTAAACTCGTGTAATTTAGTATATGCTCACGACACTTAAATGTTTTTTACATAACTTCTTCCTTCTTTTGAATAGTTTGCTTAGGATGGCCATGAAAAAACATCAGATGCATGTTTTAATGAAAAATACAGACCCCAAATTTATTTAAAGGCACATTATGCCTAAGAAATCAATAAAGGTTTTTGGTCTTTATAAAGGTCAAGCAAATGTTAAACAATTGAAGAATGTAGCGTTGAATATGTGTAATGTGTCATTAAGGTAGTAAAATGTAAACAAAGAAGTATTTTGACTTCCATACAAAAGATTTTATCACTATAATTACACAAACTGCCAACCAAAGGGCAAAGAAAACAAACAAAAAATACAAAAACAAAAGAAAACATGTCATCTTTATGGTCAATGTGAAACAGTGTTAGGGTAACAAAAACTAAACAAAGTTTCTGAAATAAAATTGATAGCAATTTGGGGACTCAATGAACCTTTAAAGAGGAAACAAAAAATAACTTTAACATACATATGGGATTATGCTAATTGTTTTTGAACGTTTTTGTTTTATTTCATGGTAATTTAGTGATTTTATTTTATTGAATGATTTTATTAATGGTAGTAGGGTAAATGTTAACTGACCAAATTCTTTGAAAAAAAGGAAAAAAGGTTTTACTTTTTAGCAGCACCCACGGTTGGCGTTGAGCTGATTCGCTGGATGGAAGACTGGTTAAAGACAAGTCCGAATCCCCGAATTATATTTCCAACGAATAGATTCCAAAACGTATGCCTCACAGTAGGATCCGTGTCGAAACTAGTGAAGAAAATGTATAATGAAATACAGTCATATTTGTTTTATGACACTAACATGCCAGATATACTTACATAATTATCTGCACATTAAAGTGGATTGGTCGACAATGAACACATTTTCCATTAGTATTTCAAACAATGTACATTGTATCATGTTTAGAATGGCTTTTATATGTATTTTATGTTTGTATTTTATGTTTATATTTATTTACAGTATAAGTATATACATGTTAAGATGAAACGTTAATAAATAAATAGAACATTGTGATGTTCATATAAAATATCTCACGATCAAAATTGCTGACCGAGTCTTACGTGATTTTTAAACATTTCTTTGATGAAAAATTATTTATTTTTTCTTAAACAATTTAACACTAGATTAAGAATATATTCTTAATAAATATCTCACATTCACTTTAATGTAAATTCGAATCAAACCAACAATTTATTAGGTCTATCACAAAATGCGACATTAAGAACTTACATTAATCGGAATTGTAAAATTATATAAACCAAATCGCTAACGTTACTTGAGGGTAACGAAGGAAAATGGAAACGTATTGGCGCGTTGTTGTGCTGCGCGTTGTCGCGACGTCGCCCTGTCGCTTAGCTTATATATATATACAAATAGCAAATCCTTCGATTTGAGCCGGGCGACAATGTGACATTGCGAAAACACGCCCATGACAACGCGCCATTTGGCGCTCGCATCATTAGCTAGCGGCAACACGACGCAAAAAAGTGTCTCAAATCAGCCACCATAATTTAAGCCTTTATCAATAACTTAAAAATACTGCTCAAATCCATCATTTGTATATACGTACGTAACAAGGATGTCACGATTATTGTCCAATTAATTTCGACTTCACAAATTTGTACGAAATACAGAGATAAAAATATACGGAAGCACAGAGGAGAGATTCCGATTTGATTGTATTGTATCTCGTGGGAACGAGATAGCATTTTGTTTTTCGTTTGTTTGTTTTTTGTTTTTGTTTTTTTTGGTTGGTTTTTTTTTTCGGAGTTATATTCTCGTGGCCACGAGATGGAAAAAATAAAATAAAATCGGAATGTCCCACTGTGCTTCCGTAGAAATAAGTATCACATTTAGACTAGGATCTATCTTTATTTTCAGACAATTTTCTTTTTTTGCTTTTACTTTGTTTCCATCGATGAAAATGGACAGTTTATCATTGTAATACATCTAACCTTACATGCAGTAATCGATGACTGTAACTTTAAGTAAACAAACTTACTTGAAGAAATTGACCCTCCCATTCCGGCTTGCTATTTCCCAGGTTTTCCCAATGCCGCCTATTTGCATAGTTCCCTGTAAAAATAAACCATATATATTTAGTTAACGTAATACTTCCTTTAAAGCTGCATGCCTCCAGATGAGCAAAAATATTTCCATGAAATCAAACCTGAGAAAAATGTGCTAAGATTTGAGGAAAAGTATAAAGATTCAAAATTCAAATAATTATTTACATGCTATGTGCGAATAATGATCGATTTTTCAGTATTTATAACTATATTTCTACTGCGTTACTAACCCAGTTAGGGCTATTTTTGCATATTTTGACCTCTTTATAGTAATTTACATGGATTGTGAGTGTCATTAATAATGTGTAAATTGCATTCTTTTTGTAACTTCACAATATTATACTGTTAAATACATTTTCAAATTTTCATGAAAATTAGCATGAATCTGGAGGCATGCTTCTTTAAAGCAATGTAATTGTTATCCATACAAAACATTATATTATAATGATTTATTCATTTAAGAAAGATTCCTCTTAAATCAATGCATTATCTTTTTATTCGATGAACGGTTTCCTTAAAGATCCTGTAACACATTTTTTTTATAGTTTTATATAACAAATATAATGCTCAAATGAAGATTTATCAATAGTATAAGTTTCAAAAAGCATTATTTGTAAATATATTACATATTCTTCGATGTTTGACCATTGTTTTAGAAGCATAATTATGTACATACAGTATATAAAATTTCACTTTAATGTGGTAACACCCTTAATTACAATATACAGGATCTTTAAAACTTCCTTTAAAACAATATAATTGTTATCCAAACAATACATTATATTCAATACATTATATCATTCAAGAAAGATTCCTTTCAAATCAATGCATTATCTATTTATTCAATGAATGGTTCCCTTAAAACATTTACCGAGGTTATATTAGTTTTGAAGACAATTCCTACATTTCTGCACTTTTTTTAAAAGGCAAAGTTTGAAGAAAATAACTTTTGCTGTTTGGGATCAATTAAAAGAGGCAAAAACTAACTTTCAGTGGCATATACCTCAAAGTTTAGGGGGTTGATATACCCTTTATTTCTTTTTAACCTTTTTCTTATTTTAAGGAAAGAAAGATTTTTCTCAGTTATGATATAAACTACCTGTATTTTTGATGGGGGAGGGCTTTTGTCCTACGTGTAAATTTCATGGGGGGGGCTTTGTCTACCTTGTCAGTTTTAGATGGGGAGGGGGGGTGGGGTTGTCCGGGGACTTTTGTCCGTATCCCATCTCAGACATATACTACGGAATACCGTCAGGGCCATCGTGGTAATACTTTATAATCACGATAGCCCTAACGGTATTCCGTAAGAGACAGCAATGGTGATGACATATTTACGTCATAGCCATTAAAACATGAAACTTTTGTATAGATTTATGCTATACTTCACTTTATTCATATATCAAAAGAAGTTCAAAGACCTTGATAAGAACAGCAAAGAATCCGGCAAACATCACCCCGCATTGAAATACATCAGTCCAGATAACTGCTTTTAAACCGCCCTGAAATACCAAAGTATTATGACATAACCAAAATGACTTGACCAGTTATAACATCTATGTAAATAAAAGAATACAGGCATTAAGGACATATGAATAATAAAATATTGCTTAGATAGTTTTTCACTAATCAAATTGCTAAAGAAAATGGTAGATGAATACGAAAATAATATCTAGATAGCTTTTTACTAAATAAATTGCAAAACATAAATGATATACATGTGTGAATACGAAAACATTACATAGATAGCTTTTTACTAAATAAATTGCAAAAAAATATGATATATGAATTCGGAAACATTATCTAGATAGCATTGTTCTAAATAAATTGCAAAAGAAATGTTATATGAATACAAAAACATTATCTAGATACATGTAGCTTTTTACTAAATAAATTGCAAAAGAAATAATCTATGAATACGAAAACATTATCTAGATTAGTAGATGTACTAAATATATTGAGAACAAAATTATTATATATAAATATGAAAACATTGCGTGACTTACGATAGATGTGTAGATAACTGAGGCAAGCGCAACAGATACTATTGAGCCCCATTGTGGAAATCCAGTCACTGAAAAAAAGTAATGGTAACGGTTCTGACTGCCTCTCAGCACAGGGGTCGAGGGTTCTTGTCCTACTGGGGGTCACGACTGCGAGACCCAGGAGCGAACTACTTTTAAGCGGAGGAGTATTTTAAAAATAGGTTCATTTTTTATCACAATCGTGTATTGGTCCTGGCGTAAACTCATAAAGATGGCGTTTTAAAATTGTCATTTTGGTGCTTACACAAAAGACCTGCTAGAGCACTTTTCAAGTAAGATGTGCTAATAAATTATTGAATTGTACTAGAAAGATACAGTTAATGAATCAAAGATTGGTATAGTCAATATCCGTTTGAATTTCGCGGGTCAAGGTTTATAAATGCAATGAACTATCAAATCATGTAAAAAAAATTATTCTTGTCAAGTTGAATAACATTTATCAATAACAAAACAAATTTCAATAAAAAACATGACCAAACTTGTAATATGGACCTATTTATTATCAAGATAGTTGGTTCCATTGGTTCACTGCTGGTACCAATTTTATATTGCCAATGACACGATAATGATAAAATCCGTTAAGTGTTACTTGTCAACCAGTGGTATCAATGGTAATTAATGTAACCAATAGTACATTTGTATTTTAGTATTGGTTATACTGGGTATACTCGGAACTATGTATTTAATGTTGCGAGTCGATATTCGTGTTACTACCCCCATTAAGCAACACACATGCACGTGACATTGGTTCCTAACTTGAACTGTTTCGCTAAAACAATAGATGAAGGCAACATGCATACATTAATGGTCTTACCTGCTTCAAGGGCTATTGCAGGACCAAACAAAACTATACCCATATAGGCAGTCTATAACAGAAAATAATGTGTTTTATACTGTAAAAAAATTAAATATACCGGTATTATCTATTTGCACAACAACTTTTATTTTTGCATATAAGATATGAAAGAATAGCTTTGTATATATTTCTACCCACTGTCATACCATAGCTGTTAGTTCCATTATTATGTGGTTTATGTCTTTCCTTTCCAATCATTTGTTCATCATCGATGTGGGTTCGATCCAACCAGGAACTTTTAATACTTTAATGTAATGCAGCTATCCAGCAAACCAACTGATAACCGGTTGTTATACTTAGATGCCAGCTATGCGCGTGTATTAGGTATGAAAAGTGCCATATTTATAATGACAGTAACAGTTCCGTTGTGACTTTTCCCTTAACGTGGTCGAACCGGAAGTGGTGAGCAATAGCCACCAGTGTAGACCAGTGATCCAATTCGGTAAAAACAATGGAGTTAATGAAATGTGTACATCCTTTATAAATAAATGGAAAATGTGAGAAAATACATTAGATTAATACGTTTTTGTAATTTATACAAATTCGTTATCAGCTTTAAGTTATTCACTAACATTTAAAATCCCTATTGATTTGCTCATTTGAAAAACAGTTTTTCTGTGTGTCAATCTAGGTTTACAGGTGGAGGGGGTCCATTTACAATGAGTTTTCCAGCAAAAAAATGTAATCATTGTATTCTTAATATCAATGATTGTTAATGCAGTTCATTCCTATCAAGTGAAAAAAAAATGTTTTGGAAAGTATAAAGTTTAAAACACTCAGCAATTGATAACAGACATTTTTCTTAGATTTAAAAGGATATAAAAAAGTTACTATGTAATCATTTGTCTCTGCGTGCCCAACATGTATTATCTATGTAATAAATTAATTGATTGTATCCTCACATTTAGAAACTAATTTTTTTTATGTTGGCATTGTTTTGCTAACCTTGACATTTTATAAATCATAGTGTAAACCATACCTCTAACTCCTCCCTAATATAATGCGTTATTGAAATTTGTTAGACTGCGGTTAGACGACAGATTAAGTGAATTTTATTTAGTTAGTACACATTAACCAAAGTTAGACTAAGCAGAAATTTGAAAAATACTACAACGTGATTGGACAAAAAATAATGTTGATCATTAAACTGATTTGCGGACTGTAGCTCCGAGCGTTATATCTCTTTTGCTCTAGTGCCTTTTAAAAAGTTTAATAAGTTAAAATAAATACATTTAATTAATCCATTTATATATGGCATATTAGGTAGGTTTGACAAATGGTGTCTATACATATGGAAAAATGTCTTACATAACTGAGCATTCCTAGGACTGTACCAAGTATTCTGACGGCATGAGAATCAAACCTCAACTCCAGATACTGTAATGAAATTCATCTTCTTTAGCATACACAATTTGTTAATGTTTATGTGGTTACTTGGCTATGTTTTTTTGTTTTTTTTTGGTAGGAGTTTTAACATAAAAAATAGGCACATTACGCTTTGCATCTATCGACCTTCAAATGAAATTATTCTCATCAGCTATGAAAATAAATTATCTAGATTTGAATTTTCGATGACCTTTTTAGACTTATTATCATTTAACACCCTCATGATAATTTGCACTTGCTTAACTAGGAAATAAATCACAATTTCACAAATTTTAATATAGCTAGGCTAAGGTAGCACACCACAGTAATGTAAGCCACAGCTTCGAATGGCCAGGGAGGATTTCTTGGATATAGTGAATATTCTGGATTTAAATGACTGGTTGTCTTTAAAATGCATTTTCAGCATGAAATTTGTTTTTGTGACATCTTATATGATCACTGGCAAATTGGAAAACATGGCCAGAAATCACATGCTGTTGATTATGAATGTCAAGGCCGCCATTTTTTGTAAACATTGCTTTTAAACAGCATGCATGGTAAAAAGAAGTCATTTTACAGGGGGCGTACAAACTTTTAGCAGCAGCAAAAAATCTACAAGGTTGAGGAAAAGTTTCTTTGTGATATTATGCATGTATAGGGAGTTGCTAAAGCAGAGACGGTGTTCCTTTAGCCTGTATATTTGCAGATATTTTTTGGCAGAGGGTCGAAATGTGTTGTTTTGGGTCTCGGGCCACTGTAGATTTTGGGCTTCAACCGAATGAATTGCAAATATTTTGACTGCCTGCCTATTGCAGATGGGATAATTTCTTTGTAGATTTGCAAACTTATGTCATATATGTTCTCAACAAAATGTGTTTTCTTTTTCCAGGTTGTGTAGTTTGGTATCAGAATTATTAGACGTATTGCTTGTAGGACATTGACGGCAGGAACTTGAAATTAACTGTGGAGTGCTACCTAAATAACATAAATAGAATGCGCGCGCAGCATTACAAACTAAGGGGAACAACTGTTTATACTGAAAACATATCTTATCTTACTTAGTTGTTCCCCTTTATATAGCAAAGTAACATGATGAAATTGTTTTGTTAACCTAAACATGATTATTAATTTATTATGTATAAGAGATGTAAGGTATGTTGTAGGATGAACCCCGACCCCGTCATATCTATCAGGGGTGAATAAACGGGGCGACCAAGTTGGGGTAAACAAATATGACATCACCTCGTATGCGCTAGTTATCTTTAATGGATGTACAAGTGGAACAACTACGATGATGGACAGTGTATTTGCGATGAAGAATCCAAGATTACCAATAAGCCATTGCATCCCGTATACATACACCTAAATGGAAAACTATATATATCAACAAATTTTTTTACAAGAATGACATGACAGTCGCAAAGAAAAAGAAAACTTTGGATTATCCGATTTTCTTTGTGATAAGACAATTAAAAAAATCGTTTTAAATTAAATAAGATAGTTAAGAAAATAATAATTTACCAATTAGGCTGATTTGGACAAAAAATAGAGTTGTGTTGAGCATCATTTGCCGACCAATGAAAACATTTCAATTTTCAGAAAAGTGCTCTTTTTAATCGTATAGACAGCAAACATTTACATTATACCAATCACTTCCTTTGGGATTCTTAATTGTTAAAATTTCACTTGATAAACACTCAATGATTTAACATCAAAAGACAAAAAGGCTACTAACAAAAGATAGCGTGGTCAGACTGCTCTAATTACATGTATATGCAAGCTGACCTGTCTCTTTCAGTTCCAGCAGGTTAACGATTATATAGAAATATGAATATTTACAGCAGTTTCTTGTAGAATATGACAGAATACACTATTTAAAGCCATATTTCATTCTTGTTATCAACAGACTAAGAATCAACCGATCAATCAGTCAGTCAATCAATCTATCAATCAATCAATCAATCAATTAATCAATAAAATATCGAATACAAATGACTATCATTAAGATAAATGTTTATCATACATACTGACTTCTTAAGGACGCTGCTGCTTTCTACATAGTTTGACATGTTACAGGAAACCTCGGCAGATAGATAATGTCTTAGGTAATATTAAGTCAGTTCATTTGTATATGTGACAATATTTTTAAAAATAAGAACAATATTAGAGTTGTCATAAAAATCTAAAAATCAACATGAATCTGGACGCGTGTGATTTTTTTCTTTCTTTCTTTCTTTCTTTCTTTCTTTCTTTCTTTCTTTCTTTCTTTCTTTCTTTCTTTCTTTCTTTCTTTCTGTTTTACCTTTAAAGGTTTGCAGTTACAAATTTCTATATATGTTGATTTAGAGTACATGTATATAGAATGATTACAAAGCAGACGACTTTTCCATAAATTTATTCAGCGACACAAACCTCTGCCGGAGTACCCAACATCATGATTGACGATTCAAACGACACCATCAGGGAAATGGCTACCGGAAGTATCGCCATCTTCCGATTACCTACGAAGTACTCCGAAGTTGTTCGTTGTTTTCCGCCAGACAATGCATAGTACAGACCTATACCTAACGAGACTATGATTGTTACGGCAAAAATGCAGTAGTCTGCCACGTGAAACACGTGATCTGGATTCACCATGATGACCTAGATAAAGAAACACGGAATTAACAAATGACCTAGATAAAAGTTAGTACCTGTAATTGAAACAAATTTGAAACAATAAAAATATTAAATGGATATATAACCAATACCCGATCATTTGCAGTGTACTTTCTGTAGGGTACAAAACTTTATCTAATGAAATACGTGTATTTAAAATAAATAAATAAATAAAAAAAAAAAGGTAAAATTATGTTATTTCTATAATCTTACGGTCGATTCTAAAAAGAGTTGCAGAATGTTATTTAACATACATGGATATTGTACATAAACAGAATAAAATATTCCGGAACAATATATTATGCTGATTTTAAAAGGCCCATTATACCCAATAATTTTATATTTTATTTCTGTAAAGATTTTATTTTTATTATTTAATTTCTTTTATTTATTTTTTATTTATTTATTTATTTGTTGCTTTTTGTGTACTTTATAGTTTTGAAAAAGTTACTCATCGACAAATTGTTTGAACCATCATTTTTGCTTCTTTTGCTTGTTTTTGCAATTAATACAGTTATAGCGATTTAGTATTTTGAATGGAAGTCAAATTACTACTCTATTTACATTTTGCTACTTTAATGATAAATTATTTCACATTTATCGCTACTTTCTTTTCTTAAAAGGCATCAAATAGCTTTTATAACATTATTTAAACGTTATAAAATTCGTATACTGTATATGCCCTTTCTAAAGAAGTAAACATATATTCATTTCTTAGGCACAGTGTGCCTTAAAGTAAGGCAATGATTTTGAGCATACACCATCTGCTCTTAAGGAAATATATACCAGCACATTTCTTTTATACAGGCACTGTGAAATGTATTCGTTTTCAAAAATAAAACTTAATTTTTGCAAGCTGCAGAGATCTTGCTTTATGCACTTTAATAACTAATTTGTCTAATATATATTTTTTATCATATTTAAAGGAACTCCACTGAGGTCCAAAAGCCTAAAAACATAAAATTTGAATTTTTTAAATGGCACTTAAACAGAAAGATATGCAAACGATAATTAGATACTATACACAGAAATAAATCGAAAATCGTATGTTTGTGCGTATCTTAGAATAGCGTTGCAATGGTTTAATGGTTTTTCAATCTTTGGTTATTTTTCACATTCAAAATAATTATTCTGGAAAACGGAGTGGGCAAATGATCTAAAATTCTGCACACAAGTTAGTGGTCTAGACCTACATTAAATAGACTTTTATTTTTTTTAAATAATTTCCAGGCCCATCATGTCTAAAAACGTCGGTGCAGTCCCTTTAATAATGCGTTGCGAAAATGGAACTACTGCAATTCCTGCCACATTCACATTGTATAAACAGAATGACTGTATCAATTACTTCAGGTCTAAAAATCAACTTTTAGCGTATTGAAAGTCAATTAATGATATGAAATTAGTTTTAAAATGTTTAAACTATAATCTTCATTTCGAAAAAAAAAATAACGTATTACATGTAATAAGTTGAATAATTCCTTACCTCTTTTCTATGCAAAAAATAGACCCCTGGACTCTAGTTTCCTGGTCTGGTATTTCTCTATGTGGGACTGATTAATAGAACAATAAATGGGATGTAGGTAAAGTTAAATATTGCGGCTTACTTACCAATTAATGCAGTCACACGCGGTTGACTTACAATGATGCGCTAATTATTTCAAGTCAGCGCCTCTGTTTTATAGAATGGTTATCGGTTGTTCATTGTCAAATGTCCTCAACAAACTCGGAAACCAACTATGAATGACCTGTAAGCCTTTGCACATAAAGATGACCTGTACATTTACACATTAAAGGGACTCCACTGACATTTTTATGACATGACGGGACTGGAAATAATTTTTCGAAAGTTATGTCCCATTTGATGTAGGATTTAACAAGTATCCTTTGTAATTGTCACAAATGAACTAAATTTGAAAAGCGTCCCAGCGCTGATATATGGAAGAACTTCAAATTCCTATTTTATTAGTCTTTTGGACCTCAATGAAGTTCCTTTAAATGTTGCATCATCCTCAGAGCCCAACTACATGTACAAAAACTGCAGAGAGACACCCTTTTGGAAACAAATCTTTCCGATTTTCTTAAGATGTGTTGCACACGGGATGCTAAATTAAGTATTTAAGTCTTACCAATTTTGGAGTATTTGATTCTGTTGTTATATAGAGGTGACCGCTCTACAGAGGTTCGCTTTGGGGAGGTTTTACTGTACACTATGTTTTACATTAAGGTTGATATCAGCTGAAGCAGAATTAAACTAGTTTGAACTAGTTTGAATTTATTTGTGATAGTCTGTGCCTTTCGCGTTAATTTTTCTTCCAATAAATTATCTCTCCACTGAGGTCAAAGACCTTAAAACATAATATATGAAATTCATACGTAGATCAAGTGAAGGATTAAAATAAAACTTTCTTTCTTTTCTTTCTTTCTTTCTTTCTTTCTTTCTTTCTTTCTTTCTTTCTTTCTTTCTTTTTTCTTTCTTTCTTTCTTTCTTTCTTTTTTCTTTCTTTCTTTCTTTCTTTCTTTTTTCTTTATTTTGTGGTTCTTAGCCTCATTTCAGTGAAAAGCGTTGCAAAAGTTGAGTTTTGGGGACGACGCCATAAACAAAATTCTATGTACATGTATTTGTTTGGGAAAGACATGTGCTTTTATATGACTTTTGAATGACAGATGCATTATCAATACTATCCGTATTTAATGGTTCATTAAGTAAAAAATGATATTTCTATTTCCCAAGTCGTTTAATTTTTGGTGTCATGCCAGGTTCTGTAAAAAATACATATTTGCTATATAGCTTAACCTATTTTTTTATTTTTATTTTTTCATTTTCTGGCATTTATTTCAGTAGTAGTGATAAATGTTTTGAATTGATGTAAAATTATTGCACATTCAGCGCTACTTCCACCAGGAAATAATCCTCTTACATGCTCTGAATACATTATCAAAACAGTTTAAAACAAATTTATTAGTTTCTGAATAGAATCTAGAAGGGTCATTTCTGATTAAAAAATGTTTTTGGAAAACCAATAGAGCAATATAGCTATTAGTTTTGTTTAAACGAATTTATTTTAGTTAGATTGTGTTGGAAGCTATAAGCTTATTGAAACACACAAGAATCCTTTGCTGGGACGGCCCAGGACTAAGCAATGACTGTGAAATTTCTTGCTCAAGAAAGCAAAGGCTTGTCCCTTACCGGGGTTTGAACCAATGCTGATGCTGTCAGTATTCCCTAGATTACTAGTCCGGCACGTTTACCACTTGTTGCCACAGTATGAAAAAACAACTTAAATAAGATATTGACCTTTAAACCAAGCTTAAGGTTGATGAACAACAAGTCTTTACCACAATCAAAATAAGTAGATCAAATCAAAGCGGACTTGATGCTTATTCGACTGAGCTTTTACCGTGATTACGAATAAATTAAACATGAACGGTCACGTGATCTTGAATTAATTAAAAAGGCTTACTGCGTTAATTACATTCAATTTGATGCTATTTGACGTAAAATTATTTGATGCCCGTATGATACTCGTGCCTTTATTTTATAGAAGTGTAGCAACATTATCATATCTGCGTTCGTTAACATAAACTGATGCTTAAAGTGACACTATGCTCATTTTTTCATAATCAAGTTGAATTCTTTTCTCTCTATACAATTGATAGTCATCATGGTGATTGTCCAAATGTTGATATTTGAAAATATTGAGGAATTAATAAAAATCTGCCTAAAATATAAAAAGACTACCCCACTCGTTTTAATAATATGTACTTTACAGGTAAATTACGATTGATATAAAGAGTAATTTCTTTTGGTCATGTGAGTTATTTATCTTTGATGCCAAGTTTATCTTAAAATTGAAATGAATAACGGCAAAATATAAGCTCATTTTGACTCACACTAGATTTACAATACTATCATTGGGTTGGCATAATGCCACTTTAAAAAGCAGCACATCTTCAGGGCCATCTGAATTTTGCGAAAATATCAGAATTTCTGTTACTAGGAAAACTTTTGTTATTTTCTAATCACAGCAGTTGTATTTTAAAGCTAACATGAGGTACGTATTTAACATTGATAAAGATAAAAATATATACTTGTAATGCATCTAAATACGCGGCAATAGTCCAAAGCCCGAAAGAAACATGGCCACAGGGATATGTTATATACGAAATACGGAGATAGACATAGGCTCTTCCGTTGAAAATGTGTATAATAAATACATGTATATCTAAATTAAATTTCTTTTAGATTTCTTTTTCAATTTTTTGCTTATTGTGGCAATGAGATATAGAAGTCGTCAGTGAATATTAAACATTGACCGACAAAAAACTACATAAAGTTTTGGCAACAAATATTACATATCTTTTTTCTTGTTGCTGATGATATTGGCCTACTATTAGTATTTGACATCTATCCAGTCTTGTTGTCTAATAACAAAAGAACTTCAACTGATTTAAAAAGATTATTTTCTCTTTGATTTCTTAATTCACTGAAGTTATTGTAAAGAAAATTGTTTAGTAATTTTATGTACACGTTTTCGCCTGTGTGGTACTTTTAGATTGAAATTCTTTATTGCTTTATTTCCTTATTATTCAACGAAAGTACAGTCTGATTTCCTTATTATTCAACCAAAGTACAGTCTGATTTCCTTATTGTTCAACCAAAGTACAGTCTGATTTCCTTACTATTCAACCAAAGTACAGTCTTTTTTCCTTCTTTTCAAACAAAGTGCAGTCTTATTTCCTTCTTATTCAACCAAAGAACAGTCTTACAGTCTTATTTCCTTACTATTCAACCAAAGTACAGTCTTATTTTCTAACTATTCAACCAAAGTTACTATTCAACCAAAGTACAGTCTTATTTCCTTACTATTCAACCAAAGAGCAGTCTTATTTCCTTACTATTCAACCAAAGAACAGTCTTATTTTCTTACTATTCAACGAAAATAAGTCTTATTTCCTTACTATTCAACCAAAGTACAGTCTTATTTTCTTATAATCACCAAAGTCCAATCTTATTTCCTTATTTTTCAACCGAAGTACAGTCTAATTGTCTTATAATTCAACCAAAGTGCAGTCTTATTTCCGTACTATTCAAAGTACTGTCTTATTTCCGTACTATTCAACCAAAGAACAGTCTTATTTTCTTACTATTCAACCAAAGTACAGTCTTATTTCCTTACTATTCAAAGTGCTGTCTTATTTCCTTACTATTCAACCAAAGAACAGTTTTATTTTCTTACTATTCAACCAAAGAACAGTTTTTTTTCTTACTATTCAACCAATGTGCAGTCTTATTTCCTTACTATTCAAAGTTCTGTCTTATTTCCTTACTATTCAACCAAAGAACAGTTTTATTTTCTTACTATTCAACCAAAGAACAGTCTTATTTCCGTACTATTCAAAGTACTGTCTTATTTCCTTATTATTCAACCAAAGAACAGTTTTATTTTCTTACTATTCAATCAAAGAACAGTCTTATTTTCTTACTATTCAACCAATTTGCAGTCTTATTTCCTTACTATTCAAAGTACTGTCTTATTTCCTTACTATTCAACCAAAGAACAGTTTTATTTCCCTACTATTCAACCAAAGAACAGTCTTATTTTCTTACTATACAACCAAAGTGCAGTCTTATTTCCTTACTATTCAACCAATGTGCAGTCTTATTTTCTTACTATTCAACCAAAGTGCAGTATTATTTCCTTACTATTCAAAGTACTGTCTTATTTCCTTACTTTTCAACCAAAGAACAGTTTTATTTCCTTACTATTCACCCAAAGAACAGTCTTATTTTCTTACTATTCAACCAAAGTGCAGTCTTATTTCCTTACTATTCAACCAAAGAACAGTCTTATTTTCTTACTAGTCAACGAAAGTAAGTACTATTTCCTTACTACTCAACCAAAGTACAGTCTTATTTTCTTATTATCACCAAAGTCCAATCTTATTTCCCTTTTTTCAACCGAAGTACAGTCTTATTGTCTTATTATTCAACCAAAGTGCAGTCTTATTTCCTTACTATTCAACCAAAGAACAGTCTTATTTTCTTACTATTCAACGAAAGTAAGTCTTATTTCCTTACTATTCAACCAAAGTACAGTCTTATTTTCTTATTATCACCAAAGTCCAATCTTATTTCCCTTTTTTCAACCGAAGTACAGTCTTATTGTCTTATTCAACCAAAGTGCAGTCTTATTTCCTTACTATTCAAAGAACTGTCTTATTTCCTTACTATTCAACCAAAGAACAGTCTTATTTTCTTACTATTCAACCAAAGTGCAGTCTTATTTCCTTACTATTCAACTAAAGTGCAGTCTTATTTCCTTATTATACCCAAAGTCCAGTCTTATTTCCTTATTATTCAACCAAAGTGCAGTCTTATTTCCTTACTATTCATTACTTTTCAAAGTACTGTCTTATTTCCTTACTATTCAACCAAAGAACAGTCTTATTTTCTTACTAGTCAACGAAAGTAAGTACTATTTCCTTACTACTCAACCAAAGTACAGTCTTATTTTCTTATTATCACCAAAGTCCAATCTTATTTCCCTTTTTTCAACCGAAGTACAGTCTTATTGTCTTATTATTCAACCAAAGTGCAGTCTTATTTCCTTACTATTCAACCAAAGAACAGTCTTATTTTCTTACTATTCAACGAAAGTAAGTCTTATTTCCTTACTATTCAACCAAAGTACAGTCTTATTTTCTTATTATCACCAAAGTCCAATCTTATTTCCCTTTTTTCAACCGAAGTACAGTCTTATTGTCTTATTCAACCAAAGTGCAGTCTTATTTCCTTACTATTCAAAGAACTGTCTTATTTCCTTACTATTCAACCAAAGAACAGTCTTATTTTCTTACTATTCAACCAAAGTGCAGTCTTATTTCCTTACTATTCAACTAAAGTGCAGTCTTATTTCCTTATTATACCCAAAGTCCAGTCTTATTTCCTTATTATTCAACCAAAGTGCAGTCTTATTTCCTTACTATTCATTACTTTTCAAAGTACTGTCTTATTTCCTTACTATTCAACCAAAGAACAGACTTATTTTCTTACTATTCAACCAAAGTGCAGTATTATTTCCTTACTATTCAACTAAAGTGCAGTCTTATTTCCTTATTATACCCAAAGTCCAGTCTTATTTCCTTATTTTTCAACCAAAGAACAGTCTTATTTTCTTACTATTCAACCAAAGTGCAGTCTTATTTCCTTACTATTCAACCAATGTGCAGTCTTATTTTCTTACTATTCAACCACAGTGCAGTATTATTTCCTTACTATTCAAAGTACTGTCTTATTTCCTTACTTTTCAACCAAAGAACAGTTTTATTTTCTTACTATTCACCCAAAGAACAGTCTTATTTTCTTACTATTCAACCAAAGTGCAGTCTTATTTCCTTACTATTCAACCAAAGTGCAGTCTTATTTTCTTACTATTCAACCAAAGTACAGTCTTATTTCCTTACTATTCAACCAAAGTACAGTCTTATTTCCTTACTATTCAACCAAAGAACAGTCTTATTTTCTTACTATTCAACCAAAGTACAGTCTTATTTCCTTACTATTCAACCAAAGTACAGTCTTATTTCCTTACTATTCAACCAAAGAACAGTCTTATTTCCTTACTATTCAACCAAAGAACAGTCTTATTTCCTTACTATTCAAAGTACAGTCTTATTTCCTTACTTTTCAACCAAAGTGCTGTCTTATTTCCTTACTACTCAACCAAAGAACAGTCTTATTTCCTTACTATTCAACCAAAGAACAGTCTTATTTCCTTACTATTCAACCAAAGTGCAGTCTTATGTCCTTACTATTCAACCAAAGAACAGTCATATTTCCTTACTATTCAACCAAAGTGCAGTCTTATTATTCAACTGACACATTTGCCTCTCAGACGTTTAACAGATTAGACACAGCTAAAGTAAATTGGCCACCTTTAAATGTTTATGGAAACATTATGGTCTTAAAGTTTTCTTCTCTTTTTACTGACGTATTCGTAAATTGTGTATGTGTTAATTTTCCTAACTATCGATATGAAATGAATAATAACAACCAGTATGTACGTAAACGTTTATTAAAAGCCCAAAGAAATAAATAACAATAATAACATATTATCTTTTAATATTTACAAAATAAACATACATAGCAAATATGTAAACAAAGAGGCATAGCACATGAAAACGTGTATTTTCAAGTTGTCAAAAACACATCATTCTTTTAAATCAATCGATACATATAACTGATACATGTATATCTGTGTGCCTATAACAAAATTCCGATTGGTTATTTCGTCAGAATCGAATACATTTACATAGATCAGAGTCATTATTTGCTCTGACATTTTTACTTCTCTATTGCAGACCAAAATTGTTGAATTCGAATAAAAATGCCGAAATTGGAATTAATCATCAATATCGAAAGAAAATTTGTTTAATCAAATATATTATCTTAATTACGACCACTTTATCTATTGATGACAACTACCTTTGTACTAGAGTCAGTTGATATTTGCAATTTTTTTCGTATACATATTTATGATACGAAATAAAATATGTAAACACTTAAAATTTAGATTTCGGCTCCATTAGCTGAAAAAAATCTCATGATAAATACAACATAGTCTCAAGAAAAACAAGTTACTGTAGTTGTTTTTATTATCATTGTTGTTGTTGCTGCTGCTGCTGCTATTTCGACATTTTCATTTTGCCAAACAAATTAAATGAATATACTTTACTAAAATATATGTTTATAATGTTTACATTTTTGTTAAAACATTATCGAATTGTCAAAGCTAAAACGATTTGATTAAAAGACATAAAGATTTTTTTTAAAAAACAAGTGTATTTCAAACATGGAAATGTGCCCTGTTGACAAAAAATGCAGCAGAAAAAAAGACTTTATTTTTAAGTCACGGGTAAAAATGTAGATAGTAATTATAAAACTTAATTGTATCTATGTTATTGCCGTGGAATGCGGGTTTTGCCAGATGTTCTTCGGAGGCAGTATGTGATTAGTGTTATTAATAGATAACTGCTGAAATTAAAACAACTATGCAAACGTAACAGTAAATTTTGTTTCTTCTATAATTGAAATGTCAATTCAAATTAAAAAACAAACAAAATAACAATAAACATGATCGGTACTTTTATGGAAGAATAGTTGTACGTCCAATTAAATGGTATCGATATGTTGTGTTGTGTTGTTGTGTTGTATTCTATTGTATTGTCTATTGTGTACTGTCGTGTATTGCCTATTGTATTGTATTTAATTGTATATTGTGTTGTATTATATTGCATTACATTGCAATGCATTGTATTGTGTTGTTTTGTATTGTATTGTATTGTCTGTTGTCTATTGTCGTGTATTGTCTATTGTATTGTGTTGAATTGTCTATTGTATTGTATTGTATTTTTTATGATATTGCAACTGTTTTTGTTCTGGTTTTGTTTTTTATTGTATTGTTTTTTTTATTGTATTGTTTTGATTGTATTGTATTGAATTCTATTGTATTGTATTGTACTGTATGTTAGCAACTTATGACAGTGCTGACAGTCCACGTGTTCAGATAAACACTCTTACTCCAATATAAAAATAATAAAAGAAAACAAATCAAATAAATTAGGAAATCAAATACAAAATGTTCACCACCTTACGTACAGGCACGTAATTCTAGCTACTCAGTACACGGTACCTGTAGATTCTACCTATTGATTTCCGTCAATATATATGTATATGCAACACTAAAGGTAGATCTACCTTTACAACTAAAATATAACAGAAAACATAGCATCAGAATTATTGAGATTTAATACATCTCAAGTATCAATGAACTTTGGCCTTAAGCACCATAGATACTGGCTTAAATAGTACAGTATGGATCACTGTACGTAGTGTACGAGTGTACGAGTTCACTATCCGTGTTTTTTGTGTGTGTTTTGTTTCTGTTACTACTGAACTCCCAAGTTGCATTTTTAATGCAAAATTAACCACCGTCGATCGAATCAATAAGCACATAAGGATAATATACCATAGTAATAGAGAATTGGAAATCTTTTCGCTGAAAGTTTTTCTTTCCCCTACTTAAATTTCTTAGCACTCATCTCCGAATTTCAGCAAACGAACTTTGACCTTTTGTATTATTTTTATGAAAAGTTCCGGTTCGCAGTTTTCCTCGCATTTCTCAAGTTTATCTTTTAATCGTCTTTTGAATTTTCTGTATTGTGCTGAAAATAAAATGAGATGTTCAGTAAAAGAAAATAAAATAAAGTAAAAGGAGTATTTAAGAAATATCATATAAACTATTTTGCCATTGGTTTCTAGTTTTGTATTTAAACAAATGAATTTGCTTCAAATTATGTATTTCATATACGTTCAATGCAGCCTTTTTTACACATTTTCCATTCTAAACAATCATCAATAATATTAAGGTTTCCAGCCGCGTGGGTTTAAATCCCATCAGAGGCAAGCCGTTATTTCCTTGATCAGCTGTAATGTTTAACTCAAAAATATTTTTTCTGTTCTGCTCTTTCCTGTTTTTATGTTATAAATCTTTCGGGAAAAACAACTTACATTTTCCGGCAGTTCCCACAACGTTTGTGTTATTTATTGTTTTGCGGAATTCTGTAGAAGAGACCACTTTTGGTTCAGTATATGTAATCACGCCTCTCTGGTTTTCTGTTAAAACAAACAACATATATTTTTTTAGAAAGTAGAATAGCCATTGCTTAATTCTTAAAGTTGTATGGCTCAAGATGAGCCAAAATAATTCCAAGAAAATCAAACTTAAGTAAAATGTATTAATATTTTAAGAAAACCAAAAGGATTCATGTAATAATGCACATATTATGTGCGATTAATGACTGATTTTCAGTATTTATCAATATATTTCTACTGCGTGCCTAACGCAGTAAGGACTAACTATATGTCCCCCACTTAAAAATGAAATATGCCACGGAGCTTCTGTCTGTAGATATTGCTGTTATGAATTGAAATGAATAATTTTGCAAAAACAACCCATAACAGACAAGTACAAATCAGTGTTTTGTAAAAAAAAAACAAGTTTCTGAAGGGAAACAATCATTAGACGAAAAACATGATTGAATAGGATTTACCTCCCTTGTTTTCTATAAAGGCGGTTTTATTGCTCTTTTGTGTGGGGTGCTTTTTTGCTTTTTTTCTTTCTTTCAGATTTTATGCTTGACTAATATGGATATTTTATCATTCATAGATGTGCTAAAATCGAAACCACTCATTATTAAGAAATCTACTTTATCAAACAAAGATTTAATGAACGCATTTTGTCCAGAGTACAAAAAGTCAGTAGCTAGTGAATTTAAGATATTTAGAGTGTTAAAAAATATAAGATCATTACTTCTTGCTAAAATGATTACCTTTGTTCACCGTCCAAGTATGAACATCCACGGTGTTAGCTTTTATATCATCAAATGCAATTAGCAATTCTGTGTCAGTAATAGATTTATACACTAAATATACAGTCTTTTTTCTTATGCACAGATTCTCTAACGATATCCCGACGACGGCCGTCGGTTTCACCGCCTGTGTAGTCGTTCTCTCTTTTCTCCGTCGCCGACGATTTTTACATGAATCTTTATCTGAAAATAAACCGCTTCGTGTTTAAATATGACGTATTAAATGATTCCAAAATCTTTATTGTATATATGTTATGTTTTTTAAAGAAAATTTAAGTATTTGCCAAAAATAACCGGCCAATCAGGTTCACCAGTTCCTATAATTGTTATATTTAACAAAATGTTAAAGGGGCTTTAGCCGCTTATGCAATCATACTAAAACATTTTTTTCAGAATCAAATCAATACGGGACGTTTGAAACTACTGACCTATGTACGGTAATTGATACGGAATTTAATCATATCGAAAACAAATACACCAAAGGTTTTATGAAAATAATACATAACGACACATTTTCTGGAATACATTTTATATGAAAAGAAAACCCTCATAATTAGTATCTATAAAGCCGTTGGAGCCGCAGGATAAAAGAAATTAAAACATAATCAAAAGGGGTTTGCCGAAATGTCTAAAAATAAAAGGGCGGTGTTTCGTAATTTTTTTTGTTTCGTTATAAAAGCCATTGACTATTAAAGACGAAGTGGAGACGAGATACAATTATTCTGTACATTACGATTCAATCAAAAGAAACTGACGCTAACTTTATACACAGTATATCCTTGATTAGGCAAATTTATGTTTGTAATATGAACAATCATTCGCCTTTAATCGGTAATAGATTTGATCTAATGAGGGTGGGAAATGCAACGTGATATTCTTAGGCGTGATACATCATATTGCAGAAACATTACAAGTTCCCCCTTCCCTTTATCAAAAGCGTATATAGATAATATGCACTATATCCCAGTTAATTATGCAAAGAGCAGTACCCGTAAAAGACTGACTTTAAAACCCTAAAAAGAATAATTAAACGAACTGGACTAAAACTAGAATAGGAAAGTCCATAAAATACAATCTATAAAATACTACGGATATGAAGAAATAACAAAATGCCGTTGTCGATTCGTTGAGAAAAAATACCGAAACCTTAATGATAAATGCAAGCTACCTTTATCTTTCCCTTTACATTTCCGCTTTTTCTTTCCTTTCCGCCTTTTATTTCCTTTTCCTTTGCCTTTGCGGTTTTTATTTTTCCTATCTCTTTTCTTATTTTTCTTTCTGTCCTTTTTCTCGGGACACGTTTTACAACATGCTCCGTTGGGTTTCTTTGGGTGCCGGCAAGGTAATTCGTGATCTGGTAAACAATCTTTCTGGCATTTTATTTCACCGTTCTGTTAAATAAAAGTACATTTGGGTTATTAAGTCTGATTCGATAAGCTGCTTTATAATATTATTTAATATTGTAACTGATTTGATTATATTAAAATATTTCCTAAACTCCTCGCATCTGTGACGTCACGCTTTGCTTAAGGTTAAAGTGTTCGTGCAAGCAGGCATTATCCTGCAGAGTTTACGATTGTTGGTAAATGCACATGAGTGATTAGATTATATATGGCCTTTCGTCGGGGTGATCATATCTTAAGTTATTGCAAGGTGAAAATGGAAAAAGAACAAATTATTAAAATTGTAAAGCTTTAGTTTTGTAGTTTTGTACTTTTTCGGGATTGTTTGTTTGTTTGTTGTTTGTTTGGGTTGTTTTTTTTTTCTTTTTTTTTTTTTTTTTTTTTTTTTTTTTTTTTTTTTGAAAGGCGGGCTTTATTACTATTATTTTTTGTTAGTACAGCTGTACTTTATGTTTTAAAATGCTTAAAAACTTTTTAAGTTTTCACGTCGCGAGTCGAGTAAGAAGTAGATACAACGTATGTCCATATATTAAATCTACGTTTTGAGATGTCGCCTCTCCGATTCCGTATTTTCATGTTAACAAAAAAGATACGCTATCATATTCTAGATTCCGAGAAATAATATAGACACAATTCAAAGTATCCGAAAAAGATAACTGGCAAAAATAAGGTATTAAAACGTCCAATAAACAATGATCTATTCGAAACATGCTGTTAGAACGTTGTAAAAGCAAATAAAATCAATTTCTAGTTTGCCAGCTTTATTACGATGAAGAAATGATCAAATCTCTGGGTTCGAAATAATTATTCGTAGACACTAGTGAAACATTAACGATAAATTCGATTACAAACGAAATAAACGGCTCCTATATTTTCATAGACTAGCGCCAGATTAATTGAATCATGTCTAAATAGATAATGATATTGAAAAACAATAGCGCCAAAATTTCATGGAATTCTAGCATTTGGCACCAAAGTTTTCAGATTCGGCGAGACAGCGTAATAAACAAACATATCGGAAGACTGAACTTGGGCTCCTTAAGGCTTAAACAATTGATTCCATAGACAATAAAGGCCAATTATACCGTGTCGTAAGTTTCTCAGACCGTAGAGTAATGTTTCAATTGAATAAGATACTTTTTTATTTCACGTTTGTTACGTGGAATTTCATTGGACAATAGCGACGTCTATATTTTATACCCATGACGCTGTTTAGTATTTACGAATTCATTTTTGAATATCAAGGAAAGTAATTGTGCGGTAGTATTATAAATTCGTTATGAAGATGGTTTTCATTGATAAACGGTTGTTTGCGATACAAATTACTAATCATAAACTTTTTTTTATTAAGTGACTCACCGTCAGTAACCATAATAATATATTGTAATTATCATGTTCAAAACTTCATTTCATAAGGAAAAGAATAAATAAATATTCCTTTATCGTGTACATGAAGTAAGCGAAAACGTTTGGATACGATCCGAGAAAACGACTACCAAGGATATGGTATCTCAATAATAAGACATATTTTAATGTTTTAAGACATGTTGAGTTAAATATTTGAATGAGAAACTTTCCACTTTTCATTATCAGAAAGTTCATGATTATATAAAAAATAAATAAACGGAAAATGATAGCAAACGAAAGCAAAACCGTAGGTGTAAAAATATCAAAACAAAACACGAACGTCTTTCTCGAAATGCTTGGTGAATGAAAATGTTTCAGAATGCACCAAACAACATAAACATATTTTAGGAGCTTGTGAAACAAATATAACATTTGGCCTTGCTTGAGATGTGTCGGTCGTAAACAAATTATAGACACTTGAACACAAAGCCCTGTTCTATTGATACATGTGGTTTGTGTTTTTTCATTTAATTTCATTAAGCTTCGGTTTGTAACTTAATCAATAGCTAAACGATATGTATGAATCTTTATTCATTCCTGAAATTAAAGTCGAAACTATACAAATTCTTCTATTCAATAGCGGAGTTTAAAACTCACAAAAACTTAGTAACTTTGCACTTTCAATGTTTTATTTATTTATTTATTTATTTATTTATTTATTTATTTATTTATTTATTTATTCATTTATCTTTTTATATCCAGTTTCACATACTGTTAAATTCACCAATCGTTCATTCCGTCTGTCCGTTTGTCTGTTTCTCTATTCGTGTGTACGTTTGTTCGTTCGTTCGGCCGTCCGTCCGTCCGTTCGTTATAATGGACTGGTAATATATAACTTACCAAGCAAGTGCATGTTATACAATCAATCTCTCCCACGGACTCAACAGTTGGATGCCATTGTGTACCATTGGGTTTAATACCACTGGAATCAGAGCAGTCTAAAAAAGAAACAATATGTAAATTAACCATATACTTCATGGTTACGCCAAACTGTTAACATTCAATTACCTGGTAGGCCTTTTAAATGATTTTTTTTAACATTTTGTACGGAAAAGTATTCGTCTTAACAGTACCATTTCTCGATCATATGACCTTCATGTATAACTTCGATAAAATTCGGTACTTTTCGTAACTTTCCGTATCTAGATACGTAAAGTGACTAAATTAACCGAATTTACACGAACCATTGATAATAGAATTCCTTGCTTTACTACAATGAACAATAATACTATAAAGTTGTATATTGATAACGAAAGAATGAAACTGTAAGAATGTTATTTCTTTTTTATCAGTGCCTGGAATAAATAGTTGTTATTATGGCGTCGAACGTTGTAAATAAATTCATAAAATGACTGTTTATGTACGCCTAGTAATATAACCAAGATGGAGGGTGGATCAAATAAAATTCTTCGACGGTGATGTTTCTACAATATTTAAATTTAAGCATGCCGTGTTTAGTTTAGTACTTGTGTATCCGAGTTTAGAATGTTTGTATTTCAAATAACTTAAATTTTCGTTACAAAAAGAAAATGCGTCGGTTGTATGAAGGTTCGAATTCATTATGCCAAATATTGGCGAATATTCATCGAGTTGTGAAAAAACCAAACGGTCATTCTGGATATAAGACTGAATCCTCCGAGTCGCCCTAACAAAATGAGCTTTTCTTTGAGAGCAATCGCAACTTTTCGGCCTGTTCGTCAAACTTCGGATATGAATAATTGCCGAGATGTTTCGATTATTTTCAATGGACGCGTTATATTGATCAAGTTAGATAGACGCTTATTGTATTTTTGTCTCAAGTGCTCAGCGTGCTAGTTAATTATATTTTTAAAATAAATTATTATATGCATCCATATCGAATATCATTTTCAAAATTGTTTAACTCATTCGAAAAACATCCAATGTTCAATATCTTAATAGTACGTTGTTCAATATAATTTGATGTAAAAAGTTTGTTATTTTGTTAAATGCATGCTTTGATGTATGTTAGGCAATCATATATGTATTTTGTTAGTTTCTTTCCCTCGTGTTCAATGTCACGTTATATATGGTTGAAAACTAAAATATATATCAACTTTTATATACATCTGTTTAGAAATTATTGTCTGTGCATTATTAAGTAATAATATTTTGGGTTAGGACAGCGTACGATATATGCCAAATGGACTTTTTAAAAGAAACTGACCATCTAGAATACAAGCTAAGTCACGAATATTCTTTTATTACGAATTCGTTTAAAGCGAATATTGGATGTAACAACGAGCGTTTAGAATCATCAGTGAAATATAAAGAAATATCGCACCAGAGTAATTATTCTGTATTATCATTGCTTTAAATGTAGAGAATAAGAATAATTCTTGTTCTCGTCTTATTTCATTTTCTGATACGAATATTGACGTAGCATATCGAACTTTTACGAGCTTTTGCGGAAAACAGTTAACGAATCATCAATTTTTAAACCGAGTCGAGAAAATCAAATGATTGGTCAGTTTCATTTAAATGTCTCGTGTTTATTTTTAATCTTTTTACCATTCACATCTTTTTCTGTAGCGACAGGAAAATCTGAAAAGTTTTTCGGTAAATTTCTTTTTAATATCTACAATAAGTTGCCTGAACACAAAAAGATCAATAGTCTTGTTTCGGGAATATATAGGGTAAAATGTATTATCATTTGATTGTACAGTCCACTCCGGATACAACGAGATCGTCGGGACTTCGCATGGTTCCTCGTTATAACCGGGTCTCGTTATAACCGAGGCAGAACAAATTGAGAAATCCAACACCGTCGGGCATCATTTTTTTTAATTCTAAATCCATTTTTTACATCAAAAATATACTTTTTTCTCTCTATACATCAAATGTTTTGCTCGCTTTGTTATATTTTCTTGCGTTAATTCATTGCCCACGAACATTTTAAGGAACAGTAACTCTGTCAAAAGTTTAAGAAGAGGACGGTAACTCTGTCGAAGTCAAGACTTACCTGCACATACAGGACAGCAATCGTCCTCTTTCTGCACTAATTTTGAACACGTTTTGGGGACCAGGCACGTCTTCAAATAGCACAGAGGTGTTCCATCCTGAAAGGCGAAAAATAATATTATTATATTTTACACTGAGTTATATATCTGCATTTACGGTAGTGAGTTATGTACAACGTTTTCGAAGGTGCACTAAAATGTACTGATACATTCTGATATCAAAGAGCTGTCTATTAAATATATCGATGTAATTGGGCCGATTTACATTTCTTTGTGAAAATGTTTTGATTAAAGGCACAGTATGCCTCAGAAATCAATTTGTTTTTAATTATTAATAAATGTCAGACATAGGTTTAAAATGGTTTGCGTTTAACGTGCGGTAACGTGTCACAAAGGTAGCAAAATGTAAACAAAGTCGTATATTTACTTTCATACAAACTATCAATTCACTATAATTATATCAAATGCCAACAGAGCAAAAGAAGCAAAATATATTTCATCTTTATGGCAAATGAGTACTTTTATTGACATTGTAACAAGAAACCAAAAATAAGATTTTTTTAAGAAACTAAAATGATGGCATATTTGAAGCATTGTGGGCCTTTAATTTTTAGAATACGAATGTATATGAAAGTTATACCTGGCAAATGCATAGAACACATTGTTTATCTGTGGTAGGAACAAGACCGGTGGAATTCGAGGCGTAGCGTTCTCCATCCCTGTATATTCTTCCGCCAGGTCCGGTGCAGTTAGCACGTTTGTAGGAGTTACTTTCGTCTTCACTTGCACTCACTGCAGGAGGAATGTTGGGAATATCTAGATAAAATAGTGCGTTAATTCACGAAAGAGTAGAAAAAACAAAATATCTAGATAAAATAGTGCGTTTATTCACGAAAGAGTAGAGAAAAACAAAATATCTAGATAAAATAGTGCGTTTATTCACGAAAGAGTAGAGAAAAACAAAATATCTAGATAAAGTAGTGCGTAGATTCACGAAAGAATAGAATAAAACAAAATATCTAGATAAATTAATGCGTAGATTGAAGAAAAAGTAGAAAAGAAACATAAAATCTATATAAAATAGTACATTGATCCACCAATGTGAACAAAAAATATATCTAAAGTAAAATAGTGCATTTATTCCAGAAAGTGTAAAAAACAATATATCTAAGAAAAAATAGTGCGTTGATTCCAGAAAGAGAATAAAAACAAATTATCTAGATAAGATTTAATTCACGAAAGAGAAGAAAAGAAAATACCATTACAAAATAGTGCCTTATTTACACAAAATAAGTACAAAAAAACAAAATATTTAGATAAAATAGTGTGTTAATTCACAAAAGAGTAAAAAATATATAGGAAAACTTAAAATAACAAGATACGAGAAGAATAGAGGAAAACTTAAAATAACAAGATACGAGAAGAGTAGAAGAAAAAATGCAAAAAATAAAATAACAAGATACGAGAATAGTAGAGGAAAATCTTAAATATCAAGAAACGAGAAAAGTAGAAGAAAAAATAAAATAACAAGATACGAGAAGAATAGAAATAAGGTACGAGAAGACTAGAGGAAAACATAAAATAATAAGATACGAAAAGAGTAGATAAAATGTTAAAATAACAATTACAAGACACAAGAACAGTAGAGTAAAACTTAAAATAACAAGATACAAGAAGAGTACAGGAAAACTTAAACTAACAAGATACGAGAGGATAAAGTCACTTGTTCACGAAAGCTAAACTTGTATAGTGCGCACTCTTATGCATTGTTAATAAAATCATAAAAAAAACTAAATACTATTTAAAGATTTGAAATCAAAATGAAATGAAGAAGTAGCATAAAAGACTAAATAAGGACATCTGTTAGTGACAGGGATCAATGGTTTAAGGTGGCAGCAAGCACACACAATTATTTACAAAGAGGTTAAAATTAGAAAACGGTAAACAACGTGTTATAGCAGATGAGATGCATGTATATGTTTATCATGCTGTATGTTCCAATTCAATAACAAATATACATGTATATCAAAGAATTATGTCATAAAGTTTAATAAACAAGTTATATTAATATAGAATTTGTGTTTATTTAGAGATTTTTGTTGTTAATATAATCTAATTAAAGTAATAAAGTAATCAAACATAGCATTTATACTTAGAAAGATTTTGGTAAATTGTACAACAATACTACGGTCGAGTTATCACCGACAATTCATACGAGGAAGCCATAGGAACGGTCAAATTGTCACAGAATATCTATACATGGAAGATAGAAATTTTTACCAACCTTCACAATAAGGGCAACAACTGTGTGGGTCTTTCTTCGTTCTCGGGCAATTAAGCTTGGGACATTTATCTGCCGTGTTTACGCACCTTACGTCGGATTCACCCTGATAAAATAACGCATAAATTATCTTATAACAAATTATGAATGAAAATGAAGTGAAGCGCAAAGTATGTTGTTAGGTATGAAAACTTTATGTTTGGGTTCATTAGGTCCTCTTGTATTTAAGCACATAATATCGTTTATCTTATTTGCGTTAATAGTCTTTATTTTGTATTGTGAAATCAATAGCTAATAACGTAGGATGATATACTAGTAAAAATAAACACGTACAATGACTTAAGCAAAATGTTTTTGACAATTTTATTCCGGGTATGAATCAAACGATCAGTAAATAAAAGAACAACTCCAACACAAATTCTAAGCTTTTTTTTGCTAGTCATGCTAAAGAAACTTAATACTTTTCTTCAGAAATTAGTATGTTAAGACTGAATTAAGTCTCATTTTCGACTGACGTTTATTAGATATTCTAAAGTAGTTTCTTTCCCTTCTTCTTAGGACATGATATTCAAGCTCTGTGTCTAAACAAATCCTCGCCCTTTCGACAAAAAAGATCAAAAGAAAGAAAAAGATAAACAATAGCATTTTTATCGATTATCGAGCTACATGTAATGGGAGGTTTACAACGTTCCTGTTCTTGTTACGGTATATTGTGTAATTGTGCTATATTAATTTTTAAATTCCACATTATTATAAACCAAGAAGCCGCTAACATTCAGGGTTTGATTTACTCGTCAGTATACGATATAACCCGCAGTATATGAATGAAACCAAGGGACGTATTAAATGGTGAATTCTAATGACAAAACTGTACCTACCCGTTCATTGATTTCACATGTACAGTTAACACAGGTTCCGAAAGTTGCTGGATGCCATGTTTCCCCTACAGGGTACACTTCACCTTGAAACACGCAACCACAGTCTGGAAAAACACAGCACAAAAAATATAGTGTCTTTGCTTTTGTAGTAGTAATATCACGATACCCCTTATGTCCTTTCAAACAAGGATTTATTGGTTCGTCTAGGGGCATCCCCTCGTTCTTAAACAAAGCAAATTTCATTAAGGTTAAGCTTAAAAAGATATACCCCAATCTTGTTAAAATTGAATATTAAAAGTGTGAGCAGCTGGAAATTCAACTTTAATTGATAATTCAACTTCGGAATTTTAAACTTTAATCTTCGAGGTGGCTGGCTATTTAAATCTGTTTGGAAATTAAATTTTTAAATTTAAGGATTTCGATCTTTGACTGCTGCCTCGGGGTTCAAAGCTAGCTCGTGATATTCAGAAGTAAACTGAATTTCGATCTTCAATATCTGTGCTTACTTCCTTAAAAAAAAAAAGAATATGAAAAACTATATGTTTCAAGAAGTCTTTATTGTTGCAACCATGCATCTAAATCATTGTTCTTCTATTGTCTGATAATAACAATGACGGAAAATCATTTAGAAGACAAAGGCAGGTCACAGTGTGGCAAATTATGATTCTGACAAATTAAAGCGATTATTGCAAAGTAAATCAATAGAATTGTACTTAATTTAGACATTGCAGCATGAGACATCGTGTCTACGTTGATATTTTCTGTAAAAATGTACTTCATATATTGGCAAAATAAGTAGCGGAGATCCTATAAATTATAGGAATTACCTTATGATAATTATGGGCTGTCATTGGATACTTAGTTCAATCTAATAACAAATTAAAGATATAATTGTAATTATTAAAGAGCTATAACTTGTAAACAAGTTAAAGTATGTCAACAATAACCAAATATCACCAGTCAGCGTAATATAAACAAGTACATAAGTCGTTAGGGTCATTCCGTGCGATAATTTTGTTGTGTTTGTGGTACGGTTTGTCCTTTCAACTACACCATTTCCCTTTGGATGGTTCTAGTGAATATTGTTTAATCGTCTTAAGTATACATTTAATTATGTTAATTTGTCTTTTTGTAATATGCAGTATTCATAAACTTTAACCCCTGTTCAACATGTATCATTTTAGCAGGCCAGTTGTGTTGTGTCGTTTTGCAATTTCACTTGTTTGCGTTGCGGCATGATCTTGTAAAAGACATAGCAACAGTTTAGTGGATAACATTATTGATAACGTAATAGGCACTGGGAAAATGTACTTATTTGTAAAATACAATACCCAATAGGACAGATGATATTTATTTGTTCTCGTGGGTAGGGGAAACAAATTATTTACTAGCCCAAAAACGTTCATTGTACTTTTATATTCAATAAACAAATAAAAATAATTACGACACCGTGCCTCCTTGAAAACCCATTAAAAGACTTGAGATAAACTATTCTTTTCTTGGAATAATATTGACAGAATGTCTCTAAAGCAGACGAGATATTGCCAATCAGTTTCGTTATTAGACAACAGTTATTTACAGAGTTTATTTCAGGAATATGATTCTGTCGCAGTCGGCTCCTCATCGCCAATTAACGACTCGAAATATTGACAATAAAACGTCGCAATGATCTTCACAAGGCCCCGTAGAATGCCATAAATCCGTATATTATCGTCAAATGATATCAGAGTATGACAGTCTGAGTTTAGGACTATTATATAAAAGATTTTCGATGAGTAATCGATGATATCTTGATCATCAGTTGCGTGGGGAACATTCTCATGGAAATAGCAGCAATTTCGAAGCAATAAATTTACCATACGCATGACAATAGGAAGTTGGAAGGATATTTTTGAGATGTGTCAAGTCGGCAGACGACAATTAGTGGTTAAATTAAGCATACACGAGCCTCGATTGTATTCCAGTCTTTCCTTACCAAGATTTGCATATCTATGAATGGATCTTGAGGGTACATATAGATAGGATCGGTATATGCATCATTCCTCATACAGTTGTCACATTGTGATATGGGCAATATAATTTAAATAATGGGCGACTTTTATTGTGACGTCACATATTTCTGGACTTTTATACCTCTTTTTTGAAGAACGACTCCTAATATATGAGTACTTGATACCTTTAGAATGATACCGTCAAAACGTGTAAATTTCGAAAAGAATGATTCCTTAGATTACAAGCTCGGGTTAAGATGAAATTAAAAATACATAAAGCATATATCTTTCTTTTCAAATTTGTAATGTCAAAAAGAAAAAAACAAACATTAAATATAAACTTGCTCCAATGTGAATGCACTTTTCACATAAAATATTCAAAATATTCACTTTCGTATAAGAAGTATAAACATTTTTGTTTTATTTATTTCGATAACAATACTAACATTTGTACTGTCCACAAAAAGTTAAAATTGCACATATGCCATCGTCGGTAAACGGAAATCCCCCGGGACAGTTGCCTACCCCACCCCTCCTACCCGGACGAGAGTTTGTCCCCTTTTTTGTAGTGGCGGGCATTTGCTCCCTCTGATCTTTGGAGGAGACGGACATTTGCCCTCCCCTTAAACATTAGAGACGCTTCTTTAAAATAATATATCTGACAACTGCTGTTATATTTCGACAACGATTTCGGTGTTACGTTTAGCGTATATTTTGAATCACAATAACAATAAAATGTGATAATGTCAAAATAGTGTACAAAAACATAGCATGCGATAACGAATTAGCTAAATCAATCGAAGATTGTATTCAAAAATTTGAAATCGCTATGGAACTATCGCAGAATTCCCGTATTTCATAGTCAGTCGAGTTACATATGATTTTGAATAATGGATGTAATTGAATTTCAAAGATAAAGAAATGCGGGGGGATCCATAATAAAACCGGTTACGTTATAAGATAACAGTTAAAACATTGATAAAATTTAAAACATTTTAAAGAATGAAATATTGAGAGTAATCTATGAAAATTTCTATTAAGCTTTACGGATAGGTATTAAAGTGAATTGGCCTATACAATTGGCACTTTTTCTATAAATATTTCAAATACTGATAAAACCCATAAAAAATGTATATTGTTATATAGATTAATTATTCTTGTTAAAAAAGATGTTAATATCTGGTTTTAAGCGCTTTAGTACGGACATTTATTCGATATCATGAATTATGATATTTTGTTCCAGAACATTTTATTATCTGCTACATAAAGATATGTTTATTTCCCACTTATCAATATCATCCAAGTATAATTATTTAATCGGTTGTTATCAAGTATGATATTAAATACAAAATTATTTATTGTAAAACAGATCTTCCATTATGGACCTATTGACTTTAAAAATTGTTTTTATAAACCCTCTACGGAATGACGTAAATATTACATATTTTGAATACCCGGTTTGTTTTACATATTCTAGTTAAGAAAAAAAAAACATTTACAACTATAATGAAAATAGAATTTGAATAATGGACAATAATATATTTAAAGAATGGTTCTTAAATATCTCATGGGACCAAAAGTTTTCAATGTTTGACCTTCACACAATCGAGTTCGGTGCGATAAATGAGTTTCAAAAAAATTAAAATTTATTGTCGTAAGAAAGTTGTCTCCTGCCAGAAAATGGGTGCAATAGGCAATATGACAACGTCTAATATTTATATTTATTTTAGTATAGATTTCGTTACAGATACGTCATGTCGGTGCTCTAAGACACGCTTTCCCGCTTTTGTCGCTTTCATTCACATTATTAGCAGACAGGCGCGTTGGGCTGACTCGCTAGACAAACGTAAAGACAGTCGGATAGTCGTAAAGTCAAATCTCGCCTATAATAAGATAATAAACTTTCTTATCTTCAGTTGTACGGGTTAGTAAATCATTATACGAATTATGAAATCTGATCCGGGGTATTTAACCAAATTTTGATATGATATATATACTGTTTTGAAAATTAATACATTCGTACCCTTGATACGACAGCGTCTATGATCCGTTGGGGGAAAAAAGGCGTGTCGCTCCTATTCAAATTAAATTGATTTTAATGTGTCTAATGGGTGAAAAAGAAGAATAAAAAGTGGGGTGAAATGTGGTTTCGCAAGTTGAATCAAAACAACTTTCTACAATAGCGTGTATCAATAGACAAGATTTTTGTAGCAATTTATTACCGCTTGTTATGAATATACTGCCAGCGAAAAAAATGAGTGTATATCAAAATCCCCTTGATCATAATCCCCTTGGTTGAAAAATGACATAGTGATCGAAATCCCCTCAACAGAAATGACCGGGTGTTCATAATCCCCTTGATGGATAGTCAAAATCCCCTTGGCAAAAATGATGGGGTGGTCAAAATCCCCTCAACTTGTGAAAAACAACCCCCTTTACTCAATATTCTTTTTCCTTTGATCTTTTGTCACTCCAGCTAAACTATTGTGTTACATAAAGAAATGTTGCAAACAGCAGTTACATTGAGTAGAGGAAAGAGTATGGAGTATACTTTAGCAATATAATACAGGTTATTTTTAAATACTCCAATGTTGTCATTTTCATGTTAATATAAAATATAAAACCAGACATAATATTTCACTCTTATTTATTTTCTGACAGCACATTTTACATATGTTAGCACATTCACAGAATTTACATAAGAAATTATTTGAGGGGATTTTGACTACCCACTGAGGGGATTATGACCACCCCTTTATTTTTGCCAAGGGGATTATGATAACCCTGTCATTTCTGTTGAGGGGATTTCGATCACTATGTCGTTTATCAACCAAGGGGATTATGATCAAGGGGATTTTGAGCGTCTCCCGAAAAAAATACACTTTAAAATGAAATAAAATATCGTACGTCTACTCGGTTGATACTTTCACTGCAGCAAGACAAGAAAATACCGTAAAAACTGAACAGCTAGACCATTCAGTATGAGCACATAAAGTATTTGCTTAATGATGAATATATTTCATTTTATCATTATCATTTAAATAAATAGTAGAAAAACCTATGTTCATATATTGCACGTAATTTTCGTGGTTCTGCTCGGCGTTCATTGGAAG